CGCCCTTTCCGAGTTGGGTGGAAGCTTTGACATCGCTTGCTCAATGGTCCTCTGGTTGGCAGCAACTACAACCAGGCGGAAAACGCGTGAACATGCGTGTAATATGGTTTCTAATGTTTGTCGTTTCCAACTTTTATGCAAGTTGTGTGACACAACTTGCATATAGTATGGCCCTTGTCCAGGTTCTAACGCTGTTTTAACAGTAGATGGTCTTAAACGCTGCTAATTCACCACGCTATAGCCCTGAAGGTTGACTGCAGACTGCAGGTCACATACCAACACAGACTCCTAGGTAGTAGCTAACGAAAAGGCAAAGAGAAAGATTTAAGACGAACATTTGGAGACAAATTGACTTATTCACGTTTATAAGAACCGCAGTTGGTTTCCTAGTGCATTAAATCTGCAATGAGAGAGTATCAAACACTAAAAAGTTGCGAAGATGAAGTCAGCTTCTCTTTCGAAGTCTCCCATTCCACCTTAAATGGTGCCGCATTTACGTGCTGGCGCCTCAGGCAGAATTCAAAGTGGAACGGGTAAATTCAAACGAGAAGCTGAAGAATAAAAAGCTGACTTCAGCCTCGTAAAACAGTCGAATGTTGCAAGTTCCACCTTTTGCGTTCCGTCAACATTGTTATAAATTCAAATTTAGAAAATCGATTTTTGACATTGCTGAATCAATTCAGAATCATTCACGTCCGCATCGTGATGCGTCTAAGAATTGATTTTTTCCCCCACCCCTATTAGGTTATAATATTACAAGTTTAGCAATAATCTGTACCCATAATGACAAGTATATAAATTGTCACTTTACTTGCAAAGATATGTTACAAGGCATTAGAAATGGTATAGGCTCTTATTCCATTCAGTGTACTATGTTATTAAAACACATCATGGTATCACTCAGTGTGTTTATGCCTAAGTAGGTAATAATGTGCTGTGCAAGCTGGGACTGATAATTTAACATTTTATGAACACTGCCTAAAATGCATTTAACGATTCATAATGCATAATAAATATGACTATAAAGTTTGATGAATTTTTATAAAAAAAAATACTTATAGCCGTTTATAATACTGTATGAACACATTACATGTGTTGTGAAAAGTATTAACCCTATTATTATATATTATTATCTGAGTAGCAGAAATCTGACATTATATTTTTAGACTATAGATTATCTAATGTTATATTCTACAAACTATAATGTACAATATAACATTTATTGATATATATCATGCATAATGAATGATCTTGAAGGTACAATGAGCTACCTTCCAAAAAAAATCTTAATTTGGACTAGTGGTCTTGACTATGATACTACTAATACTTTTAGTTCTACTCAAGAAGGGTTTAACAATTTGTATACAGTTCTGAAAACTTATTTAAAAATTAGTTTTTAGAAAACAATATCACTGATACCCTGCTCAGTGTTTCCTAAGCGTCTCTCATTTACCGTCTTTCATGGAAACGACTGTCAAAACTAGATAAGAATAAAGTGGGCGTGGAATGTGAGGGGCAGATGCTATGAACATACTAACGCTGAAATGACTGCACTTTTATTCTGTTGCTTATAAATTCCAGTTATTGTGATTTTTGGGATTTATGGTGCAGGCATTAAAAAAGTTCTATTGGATTTTTTTTTATTTATCTCAGCCAAACCAGTTTTTGTAGTATCTAATGAGCTCTGTAGAATTGGAACATTTCTAACACATAAAATATTGAAAAGTTGAATTGAATCTTGACCCCAGAATTGAAAACTCTTGAACCTGAACATGCTTGTAATGAGAAGGCTGGCTAGCTGATGCTTCATTTTTAGTTTTGCTAATATTACTGCTTTACATTACAAAACTTTAAAGTTTTTACTCTCTGCCTCTATTATTCAGAAATGAAGGCTAGTGTGTATCAGTTTCAACACTCTGCTCTACACAATGCCTCCCTTATTCTTATTTAACTAACCCAAGAAAAAAATTTGCAAAAAGGAAAGATGTGGAGCAGAAATGCATATCTTTAAAGCAACAGTTTGGTTGAAATTTTAATGTAGACAAATATATTTGAACAGCCCAGATATTTCGTCACTGAGGTTTGATTCTTTAGTTCTTAGTTTCCCTTAGAGGCTAATGGGGCTAACAAGTAATGTAAGTTTAAATCCCACAAATTAGTATCATGCAAAAATAGTCACATACTGACTTCAAACTACATCAAGTTAATTAGTTCAATTAAATGTTTGCTTATGTGGTTTCTGACACTGTATGACACTATAAAAGTGGTCAGAAGTATACCGACAGTGTTTCTTATTGGCCTGCCAACTGTATTAGTAATTAGCAATTATGTCAGTAATTTTGATGTTTAATTGAGTAATGGTCCTTTTTTGATTATTCGGGTTTTAAAAAGGCCAAACAACAAACATTACTTTTAGTGCTGTCAGACACGCAAATATGATAATAAATTAATGATAATGATAATAACAATAATTATTTAATTGATTGAACAATTAACTACACAAAATAGCTTGATTAGTTCCAGTTAACTACACAAAATGATATCAGTAATTGGTTCTTTTTTGTTTTTTTTTGTTTGTTTTTTTTTCAAGTAATCATCACGGCTCTAGTCTCTAGAAGACCAGGCTTTCTTATTAACTTACTAATATATAACACTCAGCACTTTTTTTTAGATGGCCTGCAACTGTGATTTTTCTGCTCTTCCTCTACCAGCTGTGTTTTGGTCGAAGTTTACAGATTAGTCCATATTAGCTTCATTATAAATATGAAAGTCACTGAGCTGAGTGTAGTTGGAGCCACACCCGGCCGCCACATCAGATAAGTGGCACCATGGAAAGAGTTGAAAATCCATACTTAGAGGAGTTATTCCAGCCACACTAGCCTTTTTGTTCAGCTGGAATAACGCTGCAGGCGAGACAATGGGCCACTGTTAAGAAAATATTAGCATGCAGATTCTCTGGTGTTTTGCTGCACCATTCCTCGTAGTACAGCATGGCCTTTGTTTTCCTGGACGTGGACGTGACCGTGACACTGAGAGCAAACCCAGTGGCCTTGGGAGACACAATGTGTCCAATACTAAAGACACCACCAGCCAGCCTGTGCTTTGTAGAAGGAGCCCAGCGGAAGTTTAACCTGCTTGTGAGCCCTTCGGCGCTGGTTAAAATACATAAAATCAGTACATACATCAGTAAACATACAAATGAGTTGAACCGGACATAGTAACCATGGAAACCGAAGAGGCAGGCACAGAGATAACCAATCAGGACTAAATGCATATTTAGTAAAACCATTTCAACCAACTTCAACAAGGCAACACATGCTAGCTGAGACCATTTTGGACAGGACCTTGCAGAACTGTTCCAAGGAAACAGTAACGGATGTAGTTTACCTTTAGAAATTCTCTCTCTACGTTTCCTGAATGAAGGATCTTATAAAGTCCCTGAACTTCCAATTTCTTAAAATGTAACTCATACTCCACATCAGTCACAGAGGTTGATCTGGCGCCAACATTGTAGTAGAGGCTCTGAGAAGTGATTGTTGTGATGTTTCTGAGCAGAGTTAGAGGGTTCCAGCCTGTACAGAATGTGTGCTGCATTTTTACTGCTGTGGACTGTAGCACTTGTTTCTGTAGAGGCCTGAATGTACCAGAGAGACAAACTTCCAGCACTGTAGAAAGGACTTAGTTGGCAGGTGCTAGCATGATGCTGCAGATCATGTTACTGCTGTAGATGCTGCTAGAACAGCGTTTGCTGCCTTTAAGTATCCTGTATTGAAAACATTTCTCAGCTAGAAATGTGTTAGTGTGCTGGACTGGGTTATTCATCTTAGCACATTCTTAAGTGGTAGAGCAGGCATTGCTCTGAACACTGTCTCTACCCCATAAAGATGATCCTAACACTAAGATGCTTTTGGGAAACTGGGTTCTGATCATGCTAATTTGAAGTACAACCCCTTTTCCAGAACAGTTGGGACTCTGTAAATAAAAACAGATTGCAATGATGTGCAAATCATTTACACCCCTGTTTAATTGAAGGCTGCCGCCATCTCTGGGCCCAAGCTCATTTAAAAATGGTGAAGTGGAAAGGTGTCCTTTTGCACAGCATCAGAACTTTTTGGGAAACGAGTTTGTAGATATAGACTCGCAGGGTGAATCTTGTAACAAGAATATTTGCCTGGGGACAACTTATTAAACTTTTGGTGCTGGATTAAATTCTGCTGCTAAACATGGTTATGTCCCCTCTAAATTCCTCTAGTCTGTACTCTTTAAACATCTGGAGTACAAATGTTAACACAAGCAAAACAAGTTAGCTAGAGAAACGTTATCATTAGCTAACTGAACTGTTTCTCCCTGTGCAAGGTTTATTTTTACTGCATGTAATGTGTTTGCCGCACGGGTAGACAAATCTATATGCTTAATTTGACATTTTTGGTGGCACCTTTCAGCCATGCTAACCTACATTTAAATCCATGGGCTAACAACAGACTTGCTGGTTAGACAATGTTGATAAGCAAACAATCACCCACTACTGAGCTCTGCCTTCACAAGACGTTTGGACAGAAAAAATTCAAAAGAACCTAATAAGTCTTCATTCCCACCCACAACTAGGCCGTTTCTCATGGTTGTCTGCAGATGTTCCTGTTACGTCATCACAACTGGCCCTCTGAGACTACAGTAGATACTGCTAAATAAATGTCAGGCTCTTTCACAAAAGTATAACACTTTTTTGTACAGGCCTGGACCAAGCAGATGTTAATCAGAACAAAAACTGCTCCAGCAATCAATCATACACACCCAGCATTGAAGAAAGCCCTCAGCTACCTTGTGCTGGCATAGACGCTGCTGTGTAAATGTGAAATTCTGTACCGTTGCTGTAGTAGGCCAGTGCTACTGACAAAGAGTGTTTGTTGAGTATTTCTGAGCAGGGTTAGAGGGGTTTGGCCTGTACAGAGTGTGTGCTGTGTTGAGAAGTGTGTGGTGTAACACTTGTTGTTTCTGCACAGGCCTGAATGAACCAGATGTCAACCAGAACAAAGACTGCTCCAGCAAGAGCGAAGGAACAGCCACCTCTTCGGCTTTGCCCAGCGCGGACCAGGCCAATCAGGCAGATCCCAACTTGGTGGGGCCACGCCCACACTTGGTCCGCCTCTTCTCCCGAGATGCCCCGGGTCGAGTGGACAACACCTTCAAAGACCGGCCTTCAGAGTCAGACGAGCTGCACACCATACCGGAGGCTGGAGCCGGACTGGAGAGTGAAAACACCGAGCAGGACACTGACTAGATTAGCTCATTCCCACGGGCCCTTGCCCTCCCATCGCTCTCTACCAAGAGACACCAGCTCTAAACCCTCCGAAAAACCTCGCCACTGCGCCGCACAGCACCAAAAACCGAGTAAAACATCCCGACATGGCATCAGGAGGCTCCTCAGGTCAGTCCGGCTTCAGGCTGGGCCGCAGCAAGAAAAACCCTGGCGTTCTGGACCAAATCGGGAAGTTCTTTGGAGGGGACAAGAAAAGGAAGGGCAAGGTGAGGAGAGATGGGCTTCATTTAGAGAAAGATAGATACTCCACACATCTTTTGCTTAGACACCTCTCTAAGCTCTTGTGTTTGACTTAAAGGGTTCGTTTTTGTTGTTTATTGCAGAAACTTTTCAGTTTCTCTTTATTGTGTGCTGTTCTTAAGTTTTGTTTTTTGTTTGTTTTTTTTTTCTTTCATTTTGTGCTCTGTCATGTGAAGAACAGAGTTTAAGCATTGGGTGTTGATCAGGAACTGTTGGAATTCTTTTTTCTTTTCTTTTTTATGATTTCAGATGCTATGTAGAAACACAACAGCCTAATATTGATCCAAACAAACCTCAAGGATAATGTGTCATGCCTTTTAAAAGAAGAAACCTCTTCATTTCATGGTTTAATCATCGTTAATCGCTTTTGAATCATTCTGCGCATAAGGAGGAGATAAGTAATAAATCGAGATGAATAAAGTATAATTTTAAATATTAACCATGATTATATGGAGATGAACAGGAGAATCATTGAGTTTTTCTTGCAGGGCTGTGGCTAAAGTGTGAGTTCTTGCTTTCTACAGTGTGTTTGTTGAGCTCAGGGCCTGTTACACATTCTAAATCAGATCAGGTACGACTGTATTTGTGTTGGTCTTTATGCAGATGGTGCTACAGTGCTATGGTTTTGTACTATGTTGTGTGTGGATGGGTTCAGTTTTAAACAATATCACGTTGAGCAATTCCTCAGTGTATGACAGCCTTGCGTATAGTCGCTGTCATATCCAAATCTCGTAGCTTTTTTGTCTTTTATTTTTTAACACCAGCTGCTCAATACATGGCGTGAATTGGTATTTAATGATAAATGTACCAAAATATAATCCAAAAATTACATGAATTAAAATCTTAACACATATCAAGCTTAAGAACTTTCCCCCCTTCTTTTTTAAAAGTACTATTTCACATCACGATAGTGTACATAGCTACCAGAACAAAACCTCATAATAATGAAATGGTAACTTTACATGAGAAACAAAAAACATTCTAATGCAATTTAATGAGACTTTATTTAAAGTCATTTTGGACCATTTCTTCTGGTCCATTCATCATGACCTGTTCGCTCAATGTAAAGGGCAAATGGCATTCACAAATAGGGTTAAATAAAAAATGTTTTGATCTGACAGTAACAATATATTTTATTAGTGCAGTTGTGTGTAATATCACAGGCATTTCACAATTCAAGAAGCTGTATTATTGTGTTTCATAGAGATGGTACATGAAATCAGCTGGTAGTGAGCACAGTTTTGCCTTTTAGCATGAGGAATTTTATACTGATGCTGCTTTCCCCCTCCAAGTGTTGCTAAAACTGCCCCAAACATTAAAAGTTGGAGTTATCATGTTGGTTTCTGCTGTTTAACAGGTAGTTGATGCTTTTTAAAATCTATGTGAGTGCTCATTCCACTTGACTAGGGATGGGACAGTTACTAGTTTTAAAGCTATATCACAATATAAAATACATTGATAATTGTACCATGCCAAATTTGAATAATTCTGGTTAGGGTCATCACTAACGATAATATAAGTAATCCGTTAATCTGACAGATTATATTGACCAGATTATTAATTTAGCAATTAGAGAACAATAAATAACAATAAAAACTTAACAATAACAAACTACAGTATTTTTCAACAGAAATGTAACCGTTGTCCATTGGAACAACATTGTTTTCATTTGACAGTGATATCTCGTCTTTTGAAGATTTAAATGGATATTTTAAAATTCAAAATCTGTCACCTATGTCTGCTATTAGTTTCAAACATTTTTACTACTTTTTTAAACAAATGCACCATGATAATATCAAAAACCAAGATGATTTTGGTCACAGAGGTCATGATAGCAAATTTTCATATTGTCCCATTCTTGCTGTACACCAAGCCCCTGAACACAATATTTTCAATATTTTCCAAGTATTTTATATATTATTGAGTGTTTTCTCGATAAATATGCAACTTCCTTGCCTTACCTTTCATTTTAACAGTAAGTTAAAGTTTAGCATATGAGCATTTTAGCATTGGCTTTGTATAAGGATTTTACTGTGGCTGCTGCATTGCACATAAATGTTTGGAATAAAGGTGGTGTCTACACTGAAGAAAAGTGCTTTGATTCAGATGTGTACATGGCTTAAATATAGCATATATAAATCACTACAGTTGTATGCAAAAGTTTGGGCGCACTTGGTCAAATGACATTTTGTTGATTTTCTAATTGAATGTAAGCACACATCCTCTACAGAGAACACATTTTAATGCACAGTTACTGTTTATTTGCTGAATTTAACAATTAATTTGGCTGTTTTATGTTTTTTCAGTGAAACTCAGTAAATAAACAGATGTTGTGTAGCAAAAAGTGCAGAAAAATGCCATATTTGTTTGTTTTCTGTAGAGGATGTGTTAACTTATTTTCACGTTTCAATTGACCAGGGATGTTTAGACTTTTGCATGTAACTTTATATAATATATTTAATAATCTATACAATTCTGTGACATAAAATGGCAACCCCACTGTTTTGGCAATAATTATGGTGGTGTAATATACTTCATGTAAACCCAATGTACATGCTTGAATCAAGTAAATTTAAGCCACTGTTTTTTTTTCAGCATATGCAGAAACAGGTATGATATTTTACAAACAATGCTGGTTAGCTGCAGTTTTACGGAAGTGTTTTAAGGTGTCTTACATTAAGAAAAGAACAAATGCATAAGTGCTGTAGTACAGAGTGGAGAAAAAAATTATATATGCTTACATATATTCTGCATAACTGTACCGGGTATGTTTACACTTAATAAATTCAGCATGTGTCAAGCACTGATCACCGAATTTATGCCTTCAGGATACCCATAATCAGAGATTTATACTATTTGTTTCTAAACTTTTAGCACAAATTATTTTACAATAGTAATATGTTGCAAATTAGTTCTTAGGTAAAATGTGTATTTTATCTGCTTCTTTGAAAGTGTACCGTACAGCAGTGAAAAGATTTATATAAATCTTTATATAAACCTATATAACTTTGATTTTATATTGTGGTCAAATAAAAGAATAAATGCAATATCAGTATAGGTAATGATCAATCTTGAAAAACATTAATTATGTTTGTGAAACGCATCTCAAATGCTCATCAGACAATTTGCTCAGTATTATTTGTAATTTTCTCTTTTTTTGCTCTCTCTGTTGTATTGCCTGTTGTTTCTCTATCCTGCCTAATGGAGCTTTAGATGCTTTTTTGTTCGTTTGCCATTCAGTGATCACAGCTTTCCTTTCCCTTAACCAGGGAAATAAAAAATGCAGAGGAATTCTGGCCAAATCACCATCATCATTTACTCAATTCCCCCCCAACTTTCATTACAAAATGGTCATATTACTTATGATAACAAATGGATCAGCTGCTAATGGCTTTTAACTGACAGTCAATGTGTTATCTGTGTATGCAACAAATGAACATTTTTTTCTAAATGGAAGGCATTTTGTCTCCATTTGTGTTTCTCTTTTTTTTTCTTTTTTTTTCCTCAATTGTAAGTGCTGGAATACACACGATAGAACATGTAATAACATCACCAAAACCAAATCTGTTGGGAACTCTCAGGAATTGCACATGTGCACACTTGTCGATGCCTATAATAAAGGGCCATTTGTGCAAATTAATCGTTTGTGTAAAGGGAATGAAATGCCAATTTTTTTTTTTTCACCCTATTAATGTAGTTTCATTTTGTTCATTTGTTTTGCTATTTTGCATTGTGTCAAAAAGCACATTGTGTCATTGCTGTCCTTAGAATACCTCATAACTCTTTTTTTATGTGTTTTATATTTGTTACACAATTTGAAAACAACAGTTTTGGACATTTCGTTATGAGTGGGCCAGTAGAAACTGTCCACACTTATTTGAAAGAAAATCTTTGACTTTAATGTACGTAAAGAATGTTTTTTTCCTTTTCCTGCAAAGTTAATATTCTGGAGATTTGAGGTTTTTTTTAAAACAGCAATGATATATGAATGTAACACACATAGCAGAATCAGTGTGATACGCAGTGTGAAGGTGAAAAGTGAATCTTAACCAAATGTGGAATGCAAGATTGCTGTATGTCTTACAGTTTGGCAAATAACTAATCTTTTTTTTATGTAATAATGTGGCATAAAAGCTATTTATTCAATTTTTTGATTTTAGTTGCATTAATTAGACTTTAAGTATATATTTTATACATCATTGGTGTAAGGTATTGTTATCTGATCGTCACTGATTTAAAAAAAAAAATGTAGTTTCTGAGCCTCATGCTTCTTTGGAATGTGTCCTTAAAGGAATACTCCAGTGTTTTTCAACTTCATATTTATCTGCTGCATCTGTAGCATATGATTTATTACCCCAGACAATCTTTTTAACACATTTTCATGTACCTAAAAAAGAGCAGAAAACTCACTTATAATAGAAGCTAGTGGTCAGTTGATGAGTTCTGGGTGTTAATGAATACCATAAACATTTGAAATACAGAGCAAAATTGTGTTGTGTTGATGGTCAGTAGTAATTGAACCCACACTACAGATGCAGCAGATACAGGTTAGGTTAAAAAATGCTAGAGTATTAGTTTAAGCTAGCATACAGTAAAATGCCTCAGGTTGATCAGTGTACTTACAGGTCAGGAAACTGACTGTGTAGTCTAAACTAGCCCTGTGCATTTTGTCCCTTTTGTATGGCTTTGGAATATTAATACAGTGCTTGTAATAACCTTTACCTCCTACTAAACTGCTCTAAACCCCCATCCTGTTCTGAGCTTTTGGAGATTTTTGCTTGATTAAAACTGCATAACAATGGAGTCTCTGTAACCTGTTTGTTGCTTTATGTTTGTATTTCTGTTTATAACTGCACCATATTTATAACATCTAGTGTAATGTACAGTAAAGCATGAAATGAGCGCTTACACAACACAGGTACAATAAAATGCAGATAAACATACAGCTAGAATACAGGTACTGTACTACATGTAAAACACAAGTACTGTACTATAGAGCTAAATATACATGTAAAACACAGGTACTGTACCACAGAGCTAAATATACAGGTAATGCACAGCTTTGGCTTTGGAAACGGGCGTCCTCTACTCTAAGTATTATGTCTCACTTTTGCATCCATGCAGGCACATCTTTTGAATATCTGGACCTTCAAATTCAAAGTACATTCAAAGGAACTATCTCACTGCTAAAAGTCTGAAAGCTTGACCGAAGACATGGTGGATAGTGGAATGGTAGCTGAGCAGTGGTTGAAGGAGAAAATGAAACTGACGTTTAGGAAAGACGTGGAGAGCATCAGGATTGTGATCGGCTGTAACAAAGTGACAAATTAGTCATTTTTTTCTGTTTCTTTTGTTCTGCAAGTAAAGTTCCCATCGCGAGTTAAAGAGCTGTTCTAGATGCTCTCAGGATTGCTCGGGGGGCCCCCTAGTGGCTCAGGCCCATTTTTCCAAAAGCATCTGAGAGTCAATATCATCTTAACTAGTAGAAAAAGTGTACAGTGTGATGATTACCTCTACTATTTAAGAATAATCTTTGTGATAATAATAAGGTGCTTTAATGCATACTTTTTTAGCCCCTATTTACACTATTCTTTGATGGTCAGCACATCAACAGAGCAGGTATTATTTTTGGTGGTGGATCATTCTCAGCATTCTCAGCACTGCAGTAACATTAACGTGGTGGTGGTGTGTTAGTGCTGGCATTAGTGGATCAGACACAGCAGTGTTACTGGAGTTTTTAAACGGTGTGTCCACTCACGTTACAGTGTCCACTCTATTAGACACACGTACCTTGTTGGTGCACCTTGTAGATATAAAGTCAGAGTCAGCAGCACCGTCTGTTGCTGCATAGTTGTTGTTGGTGTTGGTCATTATCAGTGGTCACAGGACACTGCGCACAGTACACTGTTGACTGGATATTTTTGGTTGGCAGACTATTCTCAGTCCAGCAGTGACAGTGTTTAAAACCTCCAGCAATACTGCTGTGCATGTATATTCAAGTTGCCTTTATTACAGGTTTGTTCTTTTTGGGAGACTTGCTTTTTTTTCAGTTTTTCAGAGAAATCTGCAGGGCTATTTTTCCACACCTCCAAAATTTAGTCTGATGCAAAGTTCGTTGCAGATTCTGCTTATCATGATCCAAGTAACCCCAAACACATTCAGTGATGTTGAGGTCTGGGGTAGACTGTCCATTTATCTTTGAACACCAGCAGCTTCTTTGTTTGATTTGCAAATGTTCTTTTCTCAGTAACGGCTTCTTATGCATCCTTTCAGACTCGTAGCATTGAGTTGTCTTCTTACAGTAGAAGAATAGACGGGAATACCTGTGGATTTTTTCAGATTTTAAGCAAGGAGTGGGGCTTGAATTTCTCAAAGAAGAAATCTTCAAGTGCTGTTTATCTGATAGTAAGACTTTCAGTGGTCGACTAGGTTCTGCATGGTAGAACTCCCATTTTTCCTATAGCTCATAATACATTTTGGTACTTTTGTTGTTCACTTGTAATTCACCTTCCTTAAGAAAGTGAATTATCTTATATGTAATCTATTCAGAAATATCTCCTGAAAAATGAATAACTTATACTTAATAGCCATTTTGACAGGAAATTAAATAAATGAAGTGTGATCTCTGACATTTGAACAGAACTGTAGCTTTGAGAGGCATTAAATGCATAAGACGTCTAGTTCCTATTGCCAACACTGTGAACAAGTCTGACTTGGTAAGTTTCTCTTTAAAGGAACATTTCACATCCTAACACTGTGTTTACCTTCCTTTAAAACCTCATTAGATCATCTATCTGGATATGTGTCTGCCATATGCTGCAAATTAAAAGTTCATCCACATTCAGGATGTTTTTTTTTTCCTATTGAGCCCTTGCCTCTCAATCCTTTTCCCCCACCAAAATGCCTGTGCATGGATTTTAAAAAATAGTGTGAGAGCACATTCCTTATGCACATTTCCGCAGTGAGTATTGAACCTGTTTGATCTGCAGCTGTTTTTCACTTTTCTCTGTGATTAAATGATTTCAGGCAGTAGTGGTGAGCCCTCCCATCCAGAACTACATGCATATTTATGACCTAATAGTTCCTTCAAAAATTATGTGGCTGGTATTAAATCAAATCTATACTTCCTTCACCTGCATTGCTCAAAGACAAACAAATAAATGGCTTTGTCTGCTTAGATCTGCACCAATCATTCTCACTTAAATTTTCCCTTTTGTAATGTAAATGACTCATATGCAAATTGTTTTATTTATTTTCAATCAAGAACTTGAAGGAGTACATTCCCAGAGTTTGTGGGTAAGGTTAGAGAAATTTCTGCATGAAATGGATTAAATACAAGTATTGTGATTATATTGCAACTGGTATGCAGACGTTTGGAAATCCTCAGTCAAAATACAAGTTTGTTGACTCTCTAAATGAAAATAAGTTAACACATCCTCTACACAGCACAAACTTAAGTATTTTATCCAGTAGGACAAATTCAGTAAATGAACTGTAGTTGTGCATTAAAATGTGCAGCAGTGTGTGTCCTGTATGGAGAATGTGTTATCAACAAAACACGTCATTTGACAAGAGACGCCTAAACGTTTGCATACAATTGCAAATATTATGATTACAATATACACTACATACTATAACAGTGTGTGCACCTGTCCATCACACCTAAAAGAACCTGTTGGACATCCCATTCCAAAACTATGGGCATTAATATGGAGTTGCCCCCTCTTTGCAGCTATAACAGCCTCTGCTCTTCAGGGAAGGCTTTCCACAAAATTTTGGAGTGTGTTCGTGGGAATTTGTGCTCATTCAATCAAAAGAGTATTTGTGAGGTCAGATACTTGTGTTGGACAAGAAGGCCTGGCTTGCAATGGATGTTCCATTTTAACCAAAAGGTGTTTTTTGAGGTCAGGGCTCTGTGCAGGCCACTGGAGTGTCTCCACACATGGCTCATCAAGCCATGTCTTTATGGAGCTCACTTTGTGTGCAGGGGCAGTCATGCTGGAACAGGAAAGGGTCTTCCCTAAACTGCTGCCACAACGTTGTGCAGTCTTATCCACAAAGGGCCAGGGTGGCTGCAGGTTTTCACTCTAAACAAATTGGGGCACACCTGATTCTTAATCACTTAGTCTCAGTCTTAAACAGCTGATCATGTGTGCTTCAGTGTTTTTGTAATGAAAACCAGTAGCCACACTGACCATTTGCTGATGAGACTGGACACCCCTGAACTTAGGGGCCTGACCATTAAAAACAGCACCAGACCATCATCCCTCCACCTAACTTTACCGTTGGCACTATGCATTCCAGTTGTTAGCATTCTCCTGGTATCCACCAAACACAGATTTGTCTATGAGACTGCCAGATAGTGAAAGTGTGATTAATCACTCCTAAGAACACATTTCCACTGATTCTTTTCACCACTCCAATCAATGTTTGGCACAGAGTTTAGCCTTGTGTGCAGCTGCTCAGCCATGGAAACCCATTTTGTGAAGCTCATAGCACACGGTTCTTGTGCTGATGTTACTTCCAGAGGCTGTTTGGAACTCTGTAGTGAGTGATTCAACACAGGATAGGCTTGGTAGCATTGGTAACATTGTGTGATGGGGAAATATTGCTTGTTCCTACCATTATAAAGCTTTATTTTTTATTACACGTTTCAGATAAAAATGATACTTTATGCTGATTCAGAGATAAATCCAGTTTTGAATACTTATGTACACTTTGTTTTGTTGCTCTTGAGGATCATTTGGTCTGAAGCAGTAGACGGGCCATCCACCTGGCCCTGAACAATAATATGAACTCATAAGGAATTCAGCCTTTAATGTGATGTGTCTTTCAGAGTGTTATTATTTTGGTCTCTGTGGCAAAAAGCTCCAGTTTCTTCATTAAGCCTGTTTACAGCTCTGCTGCACTAGGTTGTGTTCACTTCACCAGGACCTTTCAGATAAACACAGAACTTACAGCCTCTTAAAGTCTCTTACTGAATTAATTAATGAGCAAATTTACACATGAGTATAATGCACTGGCCTTCAATTTGAGCCATAAATGTCAAAACTTTGAAAACATGAGGACAAAACCCACCTCCATGATAATGCTAATGTCTGCTAGCATTCCTTTGAGATTCTAATTGTTTGTTAGCGCTAAGCTAATGGCAATTTGCTTGAACCTTTTGGCCATTCTAGATTAAACACAGGTATTCGAAGCTTCTATAAGACATTGCTGCTTTTATTTCTAACAACTCCTTCATTAGGCTGCCACTCATATAGACAGTCAGTGATGTATCTAGAACTCTAGAAGGCTTAGTATCGTTTTTGCTACTCACAAAATTAGCCCCGTCTACTGGAAATCAAAATGTGATTGGTTGATTACTCTGTCACTTTGTAATCATGCTGAAGGTTAATCTAATGTGTTGGCCTTCTCTTCAACTCAAAGTCCTAACCAACAGGAGAGCTTGCTTAGCTAAATCTGCTTAGATACCATGAAGTAAAAAAATCCTGAACAGCCAATTTTCTGCTGGGCATTTCAAAAATTTAATCCTTTTGTTTATATCCAGAACTTAACAATAAAATGAGAGTAGTACTGTAATACTTGCAGATCTCTGAAGGCCTAGAATTCCTTGAGGGTTCCTCTCTGGTATTATGTCCTGCCAGGTTTTAACTAAATAATAATTTCATTGTTAATAGGCAAGAAATAGAAATAGTTGACAAATCCAATACACTTATATCTTATTATTAATTCCATAACCAATAATGAAATTAGTGACTGTGTTTCCCTTACAAGAGGTACTGTTTATTTTTGCCACATATAATGTATTCTTAGCCTTGCTAACTTACCTTATATCCATGGGTTTATTGTCCGCCAGGTGTTGGACTGGTTTTAAATTGTAATACACAATTTCTTCCCACCTGTAACAGACCCCCAAATGTAACAAACAGTTATAAAGGTTCAATTGTACATATAAGTATATACTTGTAATATTTTAAATCAGGACACTCTCCTCAAGTGGTACAGTTTGCTGATTGTACTTGGTCAGTTAATGAGTCATAGAATGGGTAGAGCAAACAGCGGTACAAATCTGGAATTGGTTGATATAACAAGCAGTGTTCTATAGAATACATTACTTTTTGTATGGGTTACCAATGTAGCAAAGAGCAAAAAAAACAAAGATGCATCGAGAAAGCGTGATAAAAACCTCTTGAAAAAGCAGCCAGAAATGCTGACAGGAGCATAGTTAGCCACTATTAGTTTGTAGCACATTAATGTTCTCTCGCAAGTGCCTGCTCAAGCTGCAGTGTTGTTTCCCTTCAGTAGTGCCACATTAAGTGTAGTAGGCTATTCAACAGTAAACGACATGCAAATATGATTGCAAATAGTAAAGCTTAGTAAATCTCAGTGATCCTAAATATTTATCTCTTGATAATAATTAACCAAAGTCATATGTGTAAAAATCCTAAATTGTAATTTAAATGGAGTGCAAAGACAGAAAAGCTCAAATGGCTGATTAGGACTGTGTGGGCAATACAGACTGCACAATGATAGACAGTGGCAAAGCCATGGCAACATGAATGACCTCCTGCAGCAGGCTTTGTGGGTTTTTTTTAAAGCTTTTATTTTCTGACAGAAAGCTTTTATTTTCTGGTGAGAAAGGGGCAGTTGATGAAGCATAGGTCAAAATTACATTCACACAGGGCCCTACAGCTGAAATCATTAAGCAATGAGTAAAATGAGTTAACAGCGCCTTTATCTATCAAATGATCAGCTGTGATCATTTGTCAGCTTACAGCAGCAGGACTTTCGTGTCAGTGCTGATACCAAAAAACCCAGAGTTGTGCATCACTAAATGAGATGACAAGCAATCAAGTAATCTAATGATGAATCATTCATGGTATAACGGACATGAAGAAACTAGACAAGATACAACTAGACAAGATTCTTTCAGGCAAGACTTATGATAAATGCAACCACTCAAATCTTGGTATTCTCAGTAAAATTTCACGGGTGTGAGAGCTGGGCAGTGAGGAAACAGCACAGAACAAATAGCCACCTTCACATTATGGTGCAAGCAAAGGATTTTGCAGATACTGTGGACAGTCTCAAGGACAACTGGTATTAGAGGAGATCAAACCTAAACTTTCATTAGAAGCTTAAATGACAAGACTACTACTTTTGTACTTTGGACACCTCATGTAAAAAGTCATTTAGAAAAAGACTTTACGTTTGTTAAGGCTGAAGGTTGAAAGAGGAACATCTGCAATGTGACAGATACACAGATAAATTAACTACAGTTATGGGCGTCTGTTTATCAGCAATTAGACATTTGGCTGAATACAGAACACGTTTCAGCACAATAGGCATGCATATAATGATGATGATAATAATAATAATAATAATAATAATAATAAACATATTTTATCTCAGAGTATAAAAAAACACATTTAAAGTGATCAAGTTTGCTTCTTTAGTTTTACACTACAACAAACCCTGTTTAAACTCAGCAAATGAATACTGCTCAGGCATTGTTTCCAAAATCAAGGGTATTAGGGAGCTTGCAATGCAGGCTGAAACACTCTTTATAACTTCAACATAAATGGTAGGGGCCAATTTGCTGAAGGCTGAGTAGGTGGATATATGTAAATGTGTTGGGTTTTCATGATATCACAAAAAAGAAATCCAAGACAGGCTGTTTTGCATCTTAGTTCGAATATATGGATGATATAAACTGGGATGTGGATAGTATATTTTGAAACTTTAGCAATGTTTGCATACTATGCCAAATTATTTTATTTCAAAGAGTTGAGGGAAAATGGGTTTTTACATGATACTGAAGCATAAGCCTTTAGATCAAAGTGTCTTTAAGATTCTGAAAAAAACATGCATTCTGCCAGGTGGGTTCAGGCTTTTGAAGACTGCCATATTTTAGATCATAGAAATAGTAATCACAGGCCTGTTCTTAAATTTCCTCTCATGTTAGACATGTGAAACCACAATAAGAATCACTGTTTTCTTTAACAGCCCAGATTCAGTTTCATTTATAAGTGACAGGTGCATACCAGATCATTTCTGTCGTGACAAAACCTCTCCAAAATGGTAACTTTACAGGAGAAGGAAAAAATGTTCTTAAGTTTGAATGGAAGTTAATGGAATAATATCATTTTCAAGTAATTTTGGAGCATTTTTATTGGTCCATTCATCGTGAAATTTTGATATTATGTAAAGGGCAGCTGGCACTTTCAGATTCTTAAAAAAAAACGAACAATAATAATACACGCAAAAGTATAAGATTTTGTCCTGACAGTGAAGTTATAAAATTCTTTGGTTGTTTACAATCATTTTTACATCATATAACTACATGGTACTTTTTACCCAAAACATTACACAGTACTGTACCTCATACTTACCCAGTTAATGTACAGAAGTACGCTGTAAAAAAATTAGGGGGTTTTAACTATAAAGAAATAGTAAATTCTAGTAGAGAGTAGGTTCTTGTTCTGTTACTATTAGAAGTTTAAAAGTTTAATTAATGAAAATTTTAAGGCGGTTTGGTAAATTTTTGACCTTTTTTAGCATGTCTTGAAACGTACCATCTCTTACTGTAAATACTTACCGGGCACTTTGGAGGTCACACCTACCTGTTTAATACAAAGAATTTAAGGGAATGTAAAAGAAGGCCTTACCCAGTCAAACTATTCCAGTGTTCTATCACGTCAGTTGAACAGCCTACAGTTGTCTTCCTGAAATGTGTGAACATCAATGTCGTGTCCTGCTTGGATAAGCACAAAATTAGAGACTGTCTTTACCTGACAGAATTGGCAGTGTCCTTAAGATAACTGGATGCTTAGGTATTAGAAAAGATTGCTGAACATACACTGACTTATATGTGCTTACAGAACAAACACACAAATGCAGAGCCTCGCACATTTGTTCTGAAATGTAATCCAAAGACAACAACAAAAGCTTAATGATACGACCAACAAAAATGCTACATGTACCAACTATCATACTTACATGCTTTTATTTTACAAACTCTTTGATAACAAACGAAAGGTAAAGTTTCTGAATGAAAGCTGACTTAAGTTTCTTGGCAGCTTGAGATGTGCACAAGCTTTAATCTTTATCTCCTGCACTCCTTAAACCAGTTTTAAACTGTAGAGACAGGGCATAAAGGCAAGCCTGAACTGCTCTCAAGCATCACATAGGAGAAGAAAAGAGCATTTATCAGTTTACATTTCTGTTTTCTCACAGTGAATAACCAGATTTGAAACTTAAATAAAGTATAAATAAAGCCCTCTATTATCTGTTGGAATTAAGGCTTACAAGCTAACTATCCCAATCACTAGCACAGCTATATATTTCTGGGTTTTTTTTCAGCATTTTGTTCATTCATTACAATAGACAAGCATTTTTGATAGAGACACTGAAATGCATGAAAACATTGGTGGCAAATGATAAGGAGATGAAGTTAAAGCAAAATGAAACGTTATTTAAGCATCAGTTACTAAACTGGGGAACAGTTCTTAAGTTAAATAAGTCTTTTTTATAGAGTGCATGATAGAAACATACAAATAAACCTAAAGTTAAAAAGTGGCAGTAACTTTACTGCTGATTCTTGGCTGAAGCAGGATGGAAATATATCTTAGGAGAGGGAACATGACCATGTCTTTTTCAACATGATTATCATGAAGTTTTGGCATGATACACTTTTCTAAACAACCACATATAATCATAAAAAAATAGATTAAGACCAGCCTGTAGGCAACAATTTCCTCTTTCTAATAACCAGTATAATAAACTGCATAGTGACAATCAGTTGATTGGATGGCAGCCCTTTATGACATTATTTTATTACTTCATTTTTTATTTCACTTATCTATATCCTATTCTAATTCATCTTATTTTATTTTTTGTCAGTTATTTGATGTTTCTGATTGTTCTTTTTTTAAAGAGTTTGTTTATCAACAGTAAATATTAAAAAAATCATTGCTCCCCTAGTTTTTCATATGCTCTTTTGAATGTGCCATTTTTTTGTTCACAAACTTCACAAAAAGTAATTATTGTGATGGATATAGTGTTTTGTGAAACTGCCTTCAAGTAGCATGCTATATTTTTTGTCACATGAGCCACCCTCTGACTAGTGTATATTGCAGTGATATGTGAAAGACTCCACAGATTTAATGAATGTGTGTTTAGTGTGTTTCCTCTGTGTGTGTTTTAGGGCTCTTTCCGCGGTGCCCTGTCGGCCTCGCCCCAGCGGGCCACACACTCCTCCCCCCGCCGCAAAGGAGACCAAAGCGCTGTGGCGCATTTCTTCAGGTCCATTGTAAGTACCTCTTTCTCACTGTCTCTTTCCCTGTCTCTCTCTGTCTGTCTCTATATAAGTGCATCATATGTAATACGCCCAAAGTAATGACAGGCAACAGGACAATACTAAATAACAAAACATCAAACTTGTCTTCAAATAAATACACAGTTAAATGTGAAGAATTTGAACACCCCTTGTTAAATTATTGTGTCATATACAAAAGTTATGGCACATTTAATATACCATGCTGTATTTTTTACCAATATGTTAAATTGAGCAAATAAATAGAAATTGTGCTCTAAAAATTAAATATTTAAGTTTGTTCCCTGTTTCATTTTGACCTGATCTAACTTGCTGGAGCAGGTGTGGTAGATTGTAGTTGGAACTAGACTATGCAGGAAGGTAGATATCCAAGACCAGTGTTGAGGACCACAGCTGTGGAAGACGTGTTAACTTATTTACAAGTAGTCAATAACTAGGCTCAGCTAGCGACAACCAGGACAGGTTTGTATGCCCTTATTCAATTAGCTTATAGCTATGCTCACATGTTGTCTTCATCAACTTTTGTTGACATTTGTGCATTGTCTGTTCGATCTTTTAATGTGAGCATTTTTGCGTTATATATAAACAAATAAACATGAAATGTGAAATTTTACAGGCCTTTGTAAAATTTCTGTAAAATATCAAACTTTACAGGCCTTTACAGACCTCTTAGAATATCAACAAATTTGACCAGCTATGCCAAAACTTTTTCATACAGTAGAATATTGTCTTCCTTAGTATAAGCATCCTTACAGTATCCATGTACATGCACATAGATATGATTACCACTGATTTTGTACTTTCTCTTTATCTCTCTCTCTCTCTGCTTAAAGTATATCTTCCTGCATTGCTTTAACAGAAAACATGCAGGAGTCGACTAAATCTTCATATTGTGTTCTGGTAGAGATAATCCATAAAACACGCTGCTAAAAACTGTTCAGAAAAAGGTTAAACTGTTTTATCTTCTATTCTCCAGGTGTCTCCTGCCCCACCCAAGTCTAGGGTAAGAGCAATTTTATCTCTGCCAAATCTAAGCTCTGAAGAATTACTCTGGCTGAAAAGAACCCCCACTGGGGAGACTTCAAGCAGATTTCCTTTGAAAAATCACTCTCGGCCTGGAACAGTGTTTTTTAACGTGTGCCTTTTATGTAAAACTCAAAAGCAGTTTCTTTTTTAGGCAGGACATTTTAGTTAATATGCCTTTGCTTCAGTTTTAATTTTAGGTTTAAGGGTTAATAATGAAAATAATATAGTTACCAGGGGTCGGTCTCATGAAGCAGGAGTTCTTGCTTAGCCAGCTAACTTCAACCTAGTTCAATCTAATCTTGGAATTTTTGCCTCATGGCAGTGGACCACTTTTTACATCACCATAGCAACTTATCCTGCACGTCTAAGATGCTGATCTAATCTGGTCCACCTTGTAAAATCAGAGACAACAGCTCAACTGTTGGTGCATATTTTGTGTTAGTCATTCTCTACTGTTTTATTAGTGGTCACAGCACACTGAGCACAGGACACTGTTAGCTGGATATTTTTTTGGCTGGTGGACTATTTTCTGTCCAGCAGTGACACTGAGATATTTAAAAACCTCCAGCAGCACTGCTGTGTCTGATCCACTCATACCAGCACAACACACATTAATACACCACCACCATGTCAGTGTCAATGCAGTACCACACAGATAATACCTGCTCTGTGGTGGTCCTGACCATTGATGAACAAGGTAAAAGGGGCCTAACAAAGTATGCAGAGCAACAGATGGACTACAGTCTGTAATTGTAGAACTAGGAAGTGCACTTATATGGCAAGTGGTGCTGATAAAACGGACAATGGGTGTAAAAATACAGAGGTGGTATTAATGTTATGCCTGATTGGTGTAAGTGAATTATCTACTTTTGTCATCAAATCTTCATCAGGATAACGTTGATTTTGCTTTTAACGTCTAAACATCAAGTTGGACCTTCTTTTTGAGCCTGTGCTTGTGACGTTAATATGTAAAGACGTATGACGTGGCCTGAAAAACACCTGCAAAATCTGACCTGATGCCTCTAATTTTAAAATAAGTATTTTTGACTTTGCAGTGTGACTCACAGCATGCACACCATATTTTAATGTTTCTCCTCTCCTGACTCAGTCATGCTGCTTATTTCAATTTCAAAAATATCTTACATAGTGCAGCTTTAATCATCTTCATAAAATAACAGCGATTGCATCTGTTAGGTTTTGTGAAGCTGAAACTTATGAACACAGTCCAAGTTGAACATGCTTTGTTGGGCAGACCCCAAACTTTCTGCAAGTCATCGAAACACATGTCCATGATTTATAACAGCTGTGAAAATCCCTTTCTTATCACAAACAGAAAATACCAACATTTTTAGGCCTAATGCTTATTGTGTGAAATTTACAATCATGTTTCCAAAAAAGTTGGGACGCAAAAATGTAAATAAAAACAGAAAGCAGAACGCAAATAATTTAAACCCTACATTAAACTAAAATAGTACAAAGACAAAATACAAGTGTTGAAACTGAGAAATTTTGTTGTTTTTGAAAATTATATGCTCATTTTGAATTTCATGCCAGCAACATGTGTCAAAAAAGTTGCTACAGGGGCAACAAGACTGGTAAACTTGTGAGATGCTCCGCCAGGTGTTTTTTAGTATAACACTACTAATTAGGTTAATTGGCAACTGGTCAGTAACATGACTAGGTATAAAAAAGAGCATCCCAGAGAGGCTGAGTCTGTCAGAAGTAAAGATAGGGAGGGGTTGGATTACCACTCTGTGAAAGACTGTGCGTGCAAATATACTATGAAAACTATTATATACAGAATATTTCAAAATGATATGAACATCTGTACAGTGCACTATGTTATAGAGGGGTTTCTGTAATACAGTAAGGTAGGTTTGTTGGTTTAGTTTAAGTTTAAAGTGCGAGGTGTCCACTGGGGTTAAGGAGTGAGAGTGCTACAGCTCTGGAGAAAAAGCTTTTAGCATGTCTGTTTGTGCTGGTTTTGATGCCCCTGAATCTTCTACCAGAGGGAGGTGGCTGGAAGAGGTGATGACCAGGATGAGGGGGTAAGCTGTAATTTTGCCAGCACGCTTCATCACCCTGTTGTTGTAGATGTCCTGAACACTGGCAGACTACATCCAATGATCCTCGCCGCTGTTCTGATTATGCTGGGAACCAAACCAGATGGTTATGGATGATGTAAGGATGGACTTGATGATCAATGTATAGAACTGGATCATCAGGCTCTGTGGCAGGTTGAATTTCCTCAGTTGTCTCAGGAATCACGATCCACCAGCAGATGTGATCTGGCACAGACAGCTGGAACAGTTTGACCTGCAGCAGCTATGGTGTTGAATGCTGAGCTGAAATCTATGAAGAGAACTCTAGCAAAGGTTCCTGGACTGTCGAGACACTGTAGCATAAAGTGAAGGGCCAATCTGTTGTAGATATTGGTGAAAGTCAGCGCTAGTTGGTCACAGCAGTGCTTTAGGGTGGATGAAGAGACTCCATCCTGTTTACATCCTGCACATTGATGATCCAGAGAAATCTCTGGAAAAAAACTAATAGGCCAAAAACCAATATTGGATGGCTGTGATCTTTTATTTTTCAAAAAACAATAAAATTTCTCAGTTTCAACATTTGATATTCTCAGTTTTAACATCATAATATTTTCAATTAAATATAGGGTTTAAATGATTTGCACATCATTGCGCTCTGTTTTGGGTGGCACGGTGGCGCAGCGGTAGGCGCTGTTGCCTCACAGCAAGAAGGGCCTGGCTTTGATTCCCAGCCGGGTGACCAGGGTCCTTTCTTAGCATGTTCTCCTCATGTCTGCGTGGGTTTCCTCCGGCTGCTTTGGTTTACTCCCTCAGTGCAAAAACATGCAGTCAGGCCAATTGGACACACTAAATAGCCCCTAGGTGTGGATGTGAGCGTGAATGTATATGTATGTCTGTCTGTCTGCTCTGTGATGGACTGGCGACCTGTCCAGGGTGTATCCTACCTTCTGCCCAATGACGTCTGGGATAGGCTCCAGCTCCCTACACAACCCAGAAGGATAAGTGGTTTAGAAAGTGTGTGTGCGCATTCTGTTTTTATTTGCACAGTTTTTTTACTTTAACAATTTTCTTGAAATTTTTCATTTGTGTTTAATAGCCTTAGTAATTGTTTACTATAATAATAATGTTTATGGCATGCATATGGAAAGACAAGCATCTCTATATAAATGTGTCAGTATGTGTATTTCAGTGTGTTTCACATCTCGCTCTTTGTACTGTTTATATATGGATCATTCTACCAAACTAGTTCAAAGTCAGAGTTGAAAACACATTTTGGACTTTTAACTGACTTGAACCTAAACACTTTTCCTTTAAGTAACCCGACTCCTTCATCATATTTATTTTATTAAAATAAATGATTGAACGTTTAGTCGCTACCAATATAATAATTTTAATAATTTACCAAAATGTTTTGGTAATGACTGTCAGTAGTGACAATTTTAGCTAATTTTGAGGATAACTCAAGAACACTAGCCAGGACATGACTAGCAAGAACAACTTTGAACAGCTGTACACACATAAAATCATAATTATTATTAGGACCCAAAAAAATTACATAATTGCTGAGATTATATGTTTTGGTAGTGACAAGTTCTTAAGGTTACACACTGATATTTAGACTTTGAGATACATTCACTTCAAAACAACAGGATCTAACTGCTCATTATGTGGCCATGAGGGACAATGATACAGTCTCACTTCCTGCTCTAAAATGCAGGGCTGCACACCTATGGCCAAAACTCTTTGTGTTTCGGTAATGACATGAAAATGGGAGACAGCAAGTTTTTTTTATTTAAAAATTAAACTTATGATAAACATAAATCTATCAACTTCACTTCTTTTTAAAAACAAAATAAAAAAAAAATCAAAACAAGAAATTTAGGGGTTAGGGTGTGAGACAGCAATCTCAAATTAGTATGTACCCCATAGAAGATAATTTTGCATATATTTAGCTAATATATATTTCAATTAATGCCTTGAGTTAAATAGATCAGAATATAATCCTTGTAAATATCTAGGGTCTGACTACTTAATTGTTTTTTTTAAAGCAACGCTATGTAGGATTTGGGAATGTGGTGACCTCTCTGGTGGAAATATGTTATTGCACACAATGTGCGGATGAACACTTTGTAATGTCAGTTGTGAGACCTAAACATTGAGTCTGACCTTCTTTTTGATCCTGAGCATATGACGCTAATACGTAAAGACATATGATGTCTAAGCAACTCCTGCCAAATGTGCCCTGGTACCTCTGACTTTTAAATGATTATATCAGGCTTTATAGGGTGACTCGCAGCTGCGCACGCACACTGTATTTTAATGCGTTCTTTGTTCTTCATACTCAGTAATGCTACTTCTTTCAGTTTTAACAAAAATATTCAACAGTGCTGCTTTAATAGTTTTTTTTTACTGTGGGACTGCAGTTTGAACTAACTCGGTAGAATGGCCCATATATGTAAGCTCAAATGTTCTACTACATGTCTTTCTCACTCCCTTTCTATGTTCTCTCTACTCTCTTTCTCCCTACTTGTTTATCCCTTCCTTTACTTATGTCTCTTTCTCTTTCTTTGTGTCTCTCTTTCTGTACAGTGGCATTCTCTCACAGCAAAACTAGGCCTGGTAGGTACTGATAGTAAGACATGAATAGAAAGGAAAGATAAAGTTATTATTTTTTTTTTAAATACATCAATTCTGTTAGAGAAATGCTGCTGATCTGGGATCAGTACAACTGTTGTTTAGGCCTACTTCTAGCTATCTTCAGAGAGTCTGTTGGTTTTGTTGCTCAGTATGGCTAAGAAAGACCTACTTTATAAGAAGTAGTTATCTCACTGACCTAGAAACAGACCAATCACAGACCACTGTTTTTTGCAAAATTGTATATACAGTCGTTTGGCTGCCCCAATCATACTCAAAATAAGTTCTCTACAGACAACACACTTCTGCAAATTTTAATGCACAATTGCGTTTTGTTTATTTGTTAAATTTAACATATTTTGGTGGGGCAAAAAATCATCAAAGGTGGCCTGTGCAAAGGTCAAGGCACATATTACATTTTGTGTATTGTTTTTCCAATGTGTTAAATCCTATAAATAAATATAAATTCTGCATTAAATGTGATTTTCTAAAGAAAAATGCCATATTTAAGTTGTTCCCTATAGAAGATTTGTTCACTTATTTTCTCTTAGGAAATCAACAGAACATATAATTTGATCAGGGGTGTTGAAACATTTGCATCCGACTGTAATGAAGCTATTGTTAGCATGGTGGCGTATTTGTTTCAATAGCTACAACAACATAGTGCACCTTGGTTTGTAGCAGTTATAACTGGAAACTCATAGTTATGTAGCGACTCTAAGCAAAGATTACTACGGTTTCTCATTAGCTGAACGGGGTTTTGGCAGTTTTTTGTAAAGTACATCTGACCTTGCTACAGTACATACAAAGGAACGCACTTGTGGACGGAGCATGGATAGCTGTCTTATCTATTTCGGCCTCACATGCTGGAGCCCGTGCCCGGACTCCAAGTCCAAAAATAAAAGAACTGAGATGCTCTTAAGAGAGCGTAACTAAGACAGTCCGACAGTCATAGCCAATTTTGCGAAAAATAAACATTGTATAATGTGAGTTTCTGAGGCTGGAGCTTTTGAGGTTGAGATCATGTCCTGCTCATCTTTGTATGGAAGCTGATCCCAGACCAGTCCTGCTGTTTTGCTCCTACTGAGTGCCCTCCCTCCATACGCTTGTATTTCTGAGCCTCTAATACATACTGGCTCTTTTGTTTTGAGCACTGGTGTTATCTATTTTCTTTTAAAATCTGTGTTTCTTCTTTGGTTTCCTGCTGGTTAATGTAAACCTGCTCCTCTGGTCCTTACTCTGAGTGGGAGTTTTAAATTATTAAAATGAAATCATTAACAACAGTGTGGGTGAGGAAGCAAGAAGAGGAAGCTTAGTTAGATTTTAGAAAAACATACATTTTTACACTATTATCTATATGATTGAAATTATCCTCATCCATGATTCATTGCAGCATTACATTCAGGGGAGTGATAGTCTCTGGAGGAAAGGACTCTGTAAGACTCTGTTATGCACTCAAAGAGTCCAGAATTTGATTTTAAATGCCTATGATGTGAGATGCATGCTGAATAATGCATGCGCATCCGTCACTTTAGGGAAAATTAACTTTGATTTTTTTTTGTTGTTGTTAATGTTATTGCTTTTAGCTGACTCAGTTCTTTGGAGGATATTAATCTGAAAAATGATGAGGCAGGTTCTTATTCTGAGCTCACTAATAACTGTAGCTGTGGATCTAATTAATCATCATTAAACTTAATTAAACTGCAGGGATCTCGATCCAGGAGTGTAGAGAAGACATCTGTTTCTGGACAAGTTGAAGCTGTATACATTATGGCTAAGAGTGAATAATGTTAAAGGGTCCATATCATGGAAAACCAGTGGGGTTTAATCCATAGCGCCCACAGAGCAGTTGAGGTTTAGGTGCCTTGCTCAAGGGCACTTCAGTCATGTGCTGTTGGCTCAGGGGATCGAACCGGCAACCTTCCAGTCACAGGACTGGTTCCTTAACCTCCAGCTCATGTCTACCCCCATGCCCCCATTTTTGTGATTTCATAAAAAATCAAATAACTTACATATTGTATGTCTGCCAACTCCACCTCCATAGCCTTGCACTTTCTTACTGGAGTAATAAGGCGTGCTTCAGCCTAAACTGCCATGAAGCACAAACAAGGCCTGCCAATCAGAAGACAGGTCACTTACATCAGTCTCACAGGCGCAGTAACAAAAACAGCTTGTTTAAGGGATAAAGAGAGGATGGAAAATGGTATGTAAAAATGAACGAAGACTGTTTTTGGTATATAAAACCAAAACAACATAAGTGGACGTTGAAGAATAAATAAAATAAAACAGAAATGTAGGATATCGGCCCTTTAAATGAGTTTTTGTCCAATAGGGAAGAAATGGCATGATTAAGCCAAAATGGGTCCCCAAAGTCACAAACTTCCACTTACAACCTACCCCTTTTACATGAATCTTGCAGACATAATCAATGATTCTACTGTTTTTACAAGACTACATTGCAAGCAATTTTAATGGGGTGCTGAAAAAAAAAGTAAAATAAATCTTCTCCATTGTGGCTGACCTAATGACCTGTTGGGTTTTTATATTAAAGCTACTGGAACTAACTTTTCTAATTAAGGCTTCTAATACCCTAAGTTTTAGCAAGACGGGAGTGTTACATCATTAAGGGAAACCCAGTTAAGTTAAGCTCAGTTCCACAATTTGTTTTCTTTTTAAATATGAACTACATATATTTGGTGATTTTTAAAACCTTATTTAATAATGATTAATAAACACATTTTTGGCCAGATTCTGCAGGCATGATGAGCATATGTTGCAGGCACAAAAAGTATATACTTGCACAAAGTTCCTCACTCTGGATGCTAATGCTGCCCTCTCGTTCACAGGGTGACCAGAAGTCGCAGGCTTCCGCTAAGGGCCAGAAAGGACGGCCAGCAGACGGCCAGGGCACCCTGACCAAAATCTTCAAAATGGTAATCATACTACACCACACTGACTTCTTACATTAATATATAAACAGAGATACTTCGCTGTTTCAAAAGAGTGAGTTTGCAATTACTAATTAGTGATTTAGGAAATGATTCACTGCATCATTCAATCTCGATTCGATTTGATTGTTTAGAAAACAATTGAGTGCATCATGAAATCTGAAATTTCACCAAAATTGAAACTTTACTATCCAAAGTTGATGCAGCAGAATCGCAATCTTCAGATTGGTTAATTTTTAACCCCCTAGTTCATGGAGTATGTAGAACATGTCAAAACTTTTCTTCTTCCTCTTCCTCAGTGATGTGAATCCTCACCTGTCCCAGTGAGTAATTTGCTAACTTGTTCATGTTTCGCTTCTTATCTGCAGATGGCTTCTAAGCATGTTTACAGATTTCTCATGCTCCAGCTCCAGGGCTTGTGATTCTGTAAAAAAGTGATTTGGTCTCCTGTAGCAAGATGCACCATTTCACCAGCAATATCATACAAATACATAGTCAGAAAAAGCTATTTTGGCTAAATATAATGACCATATTGTTTGTTTCCGCTAATATGCAGCAAGTCTAACGGCTTAAAGGAAACAGCAGCTTCATTCAAGTCAATACATTAACTAGGAATGTGCATAGATAGTCCTCAGTTGGGGAACTCGCCAGGTTTCATTTTAATCATTTTTCATTTTATTCATTTGTTTTGTAAAATGTGTACAGTCAAATTAAGATGTGCTGCCAAAAAAATAGATAGACTTCTACAAGGTGTTGAACTGTAGTTTCAAATTCAAAAGGGTGTTCAGCAGAGACAGCGACTCAAGTCAAGTGCTGGCCTAACTTGTGACTTGACTGGAATTTGTAAGTCAACTAGGACTGAAGATTTTAGACTAAATTTCAGCCAGTGTGTGTGATTTTTCATTTTTACTATGATCATGCAGACCTCAGACTAGAGAAAGGTAAATAATGGTGCTCACATTGCCGCCAGAACGAAGGACAGAATAAGCATTACATGCAAAAGAAGCAAAACTAGCAACAGCTAATCTAGCCACAGTTGTAGTAAATTACAGACCACATTCCTTTAAAACAAACTTAAACCTCACCTGGATTATCTATTACACTATCTAGCAAGCATACCTACAAACTATAGACTAAACCAACCATTTGAAGTTGTTTTGCCTCTATTTTAAGCACAATGTTTACTGAGTGTAGCACTTCAGTTATGTCCTTTGGACTAAAAGTTTTTCTATAATGAAAGGCCTGTTATTTAAAGCAGTGCCAAACCTGATGGGTGCAACTAATAAGGAGGTTTAAACTCTCTACCAAAGACTCTAGACTTACCCCTCTGAGACTCAAGACTCGACTCAAAAATCAAAGATATTTCTTTATTAGCATGGTAGCTAGCACTCTATATGGCATGGCTATACTAGCATTAGACCCAGGCGTTCCTTTCATACACTGACATCCTCAGGTAATTGTGTTAGTTATGAATTAATTTACCTATTAGCTTTACAGCTAGTATTCTGGCCATAGCTTCAGTTCCCTGTATTGATCTGCCTGAATCAAAACCTGTATTGCTCTGCCTGAATCAAAACTAAATGTAATAGCAATAATAGGATCACAAGTGTTCTTTTTTCCATAAGATGGAAATAACAGCCCAACTGCTTGAGAATATCACTTTGCTGCATTAGCAAGAGGTTAAGAGTTTAACAGCAATTTTGCTATTTTGTTCCACTGTTCCACAGCCTTCTGTCTCTTCGAATGGGTAGAGACCTAAATACTCGGAACTAAAGGTCAAATTACTGTTTAAAAAACATATTAGAAATCACAGGTAAAATCTGACAATATACTCATAAATAATTTGTAACGTTTATCTCAGTAACGCACAAAAAACATTAATTTTTGGCTTGCGCTGGCTAATGCGCATGTGCAAATCTTCACCACTAGCAAAAGGTCGATTCCACTGTCAGTTCCTGATTATGTTATCGGTTAATCGGATACGTTTTCTGAAGTCCTGACCAATAGGAGAGCTCTCTCGGCTGTCTCTACCCAGATATCACAGAGATAAAACTTCTGATTATATCATTTTTCATTGGGCATTTAAAGATTTTAAATTTATTGTTTCAAACCAAATCTTAACAATGAAATAAAAGTAGTACTGCAATACTTGCGGAGTTCAAACATAAACATGATCTAACTGAATTAAAATGTACTAAAAATTACAATTGTTTTTACTTCTGTGAAATCATTAGCCTTTCACCCCCCTACCCATACCCCACCCCAACGGTTCACTTGGACACTGCCATGTACTTCATACCTGCCATACCAGAGAAAAATAATGCTAGAAGTACCAATTACAGCGAAGCTGATTTCATTACAGTAAAGGATGAAAGCCCATTCAGAGTTAAGCAGAGAATACTTTTCTGTTTTCCTTATAATGTGCTTTCTACAGTGTGCAAAGCTCCTTCTTTCTTTTCTTTTTCAGTGGGGAATGCACTTAAGAGCTCATCAGCTTTTAGCTTTAGATCACAAGTTTCTTTATTTTGCGTTCCTTTTTTTTTTGGAATTTAAATTAGCTGTTCCTTCTTGGCATGATTTTGATCATGTGCTGTTTCAGTAGCTGCTCTAACAGCTGCATCCTTGTGTAAAGAAGACTAAAAGCTTTGAGCAGTATGGATTATCTTAAGCTCTCATTTGAATACTGAAGGCTTTTGCTCTTTTGTCTTCATTTTGCTGCTGCATTTTAATTAGTTTTGCACTCACAGCAGAAAAATGACTACATGTGAAACCTGCAGATATATTGACCATTACCCTCTTTGCTGAGGATGGCTTCACTTATTTCTGACATATTTATGAAAATATTTAATTTTCTTGTTTAAAATTGTACAGTCTTTACAGATTGATGGCAAAATCCTATTCGACCTTATGGGAAACTAGCACACCACTAAAGGAGTGCCACAGCATTCAATGCAATATTTGATGAACCAAAATCTCTCAAGCTTAGCAATATCAATTCAAAGTTCATCATTAACATTGGTGTATCAAAAATACCTTTAAGTTAAGCATGTTTTTCTTTGTTTGTAGAGACACCTAAATTCAGAGTGTGTTATTTATTTCAGTTTAGACTTCTTCTATATGTGTGAAAGATCATGTTATAAGGACTGATTGGGGGTAGTTTTTCTTATCGTGTGATGATTATGGATAAGCCTCTGGGAAAGTGGGTAAAGAAAGAAAAGAAGGAAGCGAGAGAAAGGAAGTAAGTAAGGGAAGAAGAAAGAAAAAGAAGGGAAGGATGGGATGAAATAAGAAAAAGAGACAAAGAAAAAACAAAGGACGGAAGCCAGAAAGGAAGCACAGAAGAAAGAAAGGAAAAAAGAAAAAGACAGAAGAAAAGGAAAGAAGAAAAACAGACTATAAATAAGACAAAGAAGGAAGAAAATGAGAAAGAACAGAAGAAAGAAATGAAAGGAAGGAAGCAAGAAAAAAGGAAAGCAGAAAGAAAAATTGAAGGAAAAGAAAAGAAAACGAATAACACTGATAATACAATGTTTGCAAGCACCGTAATTATTAACACACTCTAAATATACGTATTTTGACTACAACTGAGTTGGGCTCTTGCAGTTTCTCATAATGTTGACTGGGATTTTTTGCCAGCGTTCTATGAAGCTTGTCCAACTGTGTGGATGTGGAAGATGGTCAATTTGTGGTCACTTGCTCTCTTCTCACTTTTTTTTTCCTCACGCCCTGTTTCTCTCTCTCTCTTCTTTTTTTATCTTTTCTCTTGCAGGGAGGAAGCCGAGCCGCCTCACCGGCCAAGCGCTGATTGCCCCCTTTTTTTCCTTTTCCTTGTTTGAAGATTAGTGCATGAAAGGAGAGCAAGAGAAGATGGACAAGCTTCTTTGTTGTTTTTTTACGCTTACACATTTTTCCTTCACAGTCTCCTGCACTAACTTGCACATGAACGTGCTTCCTTGCATGGTGCATGGCTTTGTGTAAATACTGTCTACTCAGTTCCAGCCATAATGGTCAAATCCCTCAGTCTCCTTTTCATCTCTGTCTGCGTCTTTTACTTATCTAAGCGTTAACTCTCCTGGACTCCAGAGGAATGCTCCTGCAAAGCTCCTCCCAAAGCGTCCGAGGCTTTGGTTCAGTCTGGGCCGCTTTAGTCCTGTGGCATTGTCTTTGTTTTGTCTGTACAAACACATTTGTTTGCTTATAATGACTATCACTTTGTCTTTAGTAGTGTATTTATCATTGTATTGCTCAGCTATGATAGCATGCAGAGATGGCCAGTAACCTTTACTCATTTCCATTTACTTCAGTGACATTACAATGGATTCTTACGCCTAAATGCTAATACTTTAGATTACTTCTATTATAAGTATATCTGTGAGTAAAGTCTACTTTTTCTCAGTTCCACGTACATTCTATCTTTTTTTTTTTGGGTTTAATTTCATTCTGTTCTGTTGGTTTAGCTTCTGGATAGCCTTGCTGTTGCTCACATTTCCCACTATGGAGCTTAAGCATATCATCATAGATCAGAAGGATCCAAAAAAGAGAAGAATACAGCCTAACAAACTTCAGCTTTTCACTTTAACCTATACTGATAAATGCTGGAAGTTCCACTATAGTTCTATGGGGAACTCAGCACTCCAGAAGCTTTTGTACTAGATACTTTTTCCTCAACGTTGTTTTCTGCTAGGCTAGTTTTACTGCTACTTGAGTCATTATTATCATAATAACAATACTTTTACTGGAAAATGGGTTTGAGGTTACTCTACACACCTCTGATAGTACTGTGATAAGCCTCATCTTTAAAGATGTATTTATCATTGCACATGTTTAACTGTTATATAACACAGGCATGTTAATGCACATGATTTAATGAATTTCCCCCACTTTGATATGGTCTTGTCTGAAATTTGCTCTTTCCAAATGTGTTTTGTATGGTCGACCAGTGGCTGAGAACTTTACTGCTTTAAAAACAAGCTATCCAAAAATGACTGAATTGTGTCATGTTCATATATAACACCTTGTAACACATCTTTAGACACTGATAAATTAGACATAGCTGCATGTGGATTAACTGAATAAGTTTCTGGAGAGCACTGGAAAGTTTTCTGAATGGCCTGCAAGGCATGGCGGCCACCTCTTGACCTCTGACCCCCTACCTCTCATTTCAGCTTTTAAGCCAAAATAATAAACCCTGTACAAAAAAGTGTACACAGCTAGCAAATGCAAAGCCATAGAAGTCTGTTTCTGTGTTTGTCAGTAAGATTGCTAATTGAGTGACGGGAATCATTAAAAATTCAAAAAAGCAGAGGGTGCGTACTGCTGTTTCTTTCTTTCATTTGATAACATCTGAGTGTTCAAGGAGAAAATGAGAAACAAGATCTATTAGCAGACAGGAAAATTTTCCACTTGATATCATCCCTCATCAAAGCAGAATCAAGTTTGCTTGTTTAGCTTTGCACTGGAGCTTCTTTGTTCATTTTATAGGCAAATTACCATCACAACTCAATGGTAGACTATACCAGCTGATCTTTCATTCATGGTAACTCACCATCTCCAGTGTTCTAAGTAAGGAAAAACATAAAGAAACCCTGAACATTGCTTCAAATGTTTTTAATATTTACAACTTCTTCTGCCAAAAAAAGTAGTTCAGCAGTTTATTGTGAAGCTGCCATTGTTGTTAGCAACTGTCAATGGAATAATATACTGTAATTACTTGGTTGGGGGAAAAAATAGGCTTGAATCAGGTATTTAGCACAGGGTTGGGATGTAATAGAACATAAGTATTGGAAATACATATTCAGAATACAGAAATTAAGTATGTGTATTCAGTCCCAGTTACATTTTGTAAAATATTCAGAAGAGTACAGTTATTATACCTTTTATATTTTAAGGTGAATCTTTAATTAAAAAAATATATATAAAATACCATCTATAAAGGAAACACCATCAATGCTCGTTTATTATTTAAAAAAACAGTACCCGGCATATAAAGATGTACTCAATAAACGACTTCTTTACTAACACTGAAGTTCCTGCTAAAGCCTGAGTAGACTAATAAATCAGTGTAATGATCAGTTATTAATCTCAGTGTTACTGAGCTCTGCTGAAGTTTGAGTAGACTGATAAATCAATGTGATGATCAGTTATTAATCTTAGCCTTACTGAGCTTTGCTGAAGAGCAGACTGCGTTTTGTGGTAAGTTACATACATGCCGTTAACTGAAAATCACATAGCTACCCACTTTATAGTCACATTTGCAAGATTTCATTACTGGTATATGGCAAATTTGCATAGTTCATGAGACAGCAGTGGAATTATGGGTGCAGCAGTGGACTTAAGCAGGCAATGAGATGCATTACAGACTGGATGAAAATGACATTCATCTTAATCTGTCAGCACTTCTCTCTATGAATGTTGGTCTAAGTAGATTTAAAGCCTAATGTTTTTGCTTTTGATAAGACTTTGGGAAGCAAGTCTTGTTAATTTTGGGATTTAGTTCATAAAGTTAATTAATGCTGGATTAAGTGAATATCACTTATTAATGGAATTCAGTTTATTAATGTTAGATTTAGTATTTAGAGTTTATTCATTTAAGATTGATGTAGGATGTAGCAAATGTAGGATTTAGCAAATGTTTATTGTTGTAGGATTTAGTAATTATTGTTTATTAATGTATGGGTTAGTAGATAGAGTTTATTATTAATGAGTTAAATAATTAATTGTAATCTTAATTTCAAGTACACTTGCAACTGTATGGTATTGAAGTATGAACAGGAAATAATGATCTGAATTCACAATAGCCTAACATTGTAGTAAATGCAAGTAAATGGTCATATTTCATAAAATGCAGATGCCTGAGTTTTACAGTAACTTATAGTACAACTTGCAATTACAATGTTTTCTTAAATTCTTGTATTTTGCAATAAAGTCTAAACATAACTAGTTCTTTGGAAGCTACTTTCAGGTCATTTGTCAACACTTACAAAGAGTAAGGCATTGATATTAGAAATTAGTATTTTCCAGTTTAGATTTGGTCTTCAGTCAACTGCTGCTCCAAAAATCAGAGAAAGAGTCCAGTACAACACTGATGCTAAGCTTATCACTTGCAAACATGTTCCCCACTGAGGAGATTATACGTTTGTTCATCTCTTAAAAGAGATCAGTAACACTGAGATCAATAACTGGCTCATCGTCTTGATTTATCCGTGTACTCAGGCTTTATTAGGAACTTCAGTGTTCGTAAAGGGCCTCTTTAAAAGTTTGTCTTACGAGCATGTTTGCTACATGTCGAGTGCTGATTTTAAAATAGATCATATGGATAGTGTTTCTTTTAAAGATGGTATATATTTTTATATTTAGTGGCTAAGTATTCTAAAAGTATTTTTCTAAAAATGTTCTGAATAGTGCCTTTACAAAATGTAACTTGGACTGAATACAGATACTTCTGTATTCCGAATACATATTCCCAAAGCTTTCATCCCGACCCTATGAATGAGTTCATATGGGGTCTAGTAGTTATGGGTTTTATATATATGAGATTTATAGGGACTGATTAAATACTTATTAATGTGAGACTTAGTAAATAGGGTTTCTTATAGCATGTAGTAAATGAGGTTTATTAGTGCAGATGGGTTTATAGGATTTATTAAGGATTAGTTATTAGGGTTTATGTATTTTCTTTATGAGGATGGATTAAGGCATTTCACTTTCTGTACCTGGAGGAAGCCAGCAAAATTTCAGAACGATCAAATCAAACAAACAACATTTGTAAAATTTATTCTTAAATACTTCTGAACATTACAAAATACATGTATGCCACAAAGTATACAGCTTAAACTTTATACACCGACAAAGCCATCAGTTAAACATAGCTGATAATGAAAACTTGAGTTAGCGGATTCTACATCCAGAAACTATTTACATTTTACTAGTAAAAAACGCTTTATACAAATATAATTCAATTACATCAAATTTTTAAAGAAACTCTTTCTGTAAGTTACACTTTTCAATGCACACAGAAACTCAAACAAGCAGTACACGTACTGTGTTTAAAGTTGGGGTGGGTGTATGCGAGTCCAAGATTGAAAAAAGAAAAGGATGCTGACACACTAGAATTGCTGTAGCTTTTGGATCCGTAGAGACTTTTTCAAGAGTGCTTTACAGTGAAAGTCATTTATCAATTCCTATCAAGTCAAAGAGACAAAACACACAGATTTTTTTCCTCTTGGGCTGAGGGGAGCTACAGTGTCAGTTCACTAATTTAACATGAGGCTACTGTCATTTCAACACCCCTGATGAAATTACACGTTTTGTTGATTTTCTAAGTGAAAATAGGCTAACACATCCTCTACAGAGAACAAACTTAAACATGGCAATATGGAGTTTAAAATACTGAAAAAAACATAAAATACAAAATGTGCCTTTTGCACAGGCCAAACTGCATATTTTATTTTATGTTTCATTCAGCAAATAAACAGTAATTTTCCATTAAAATGTGCAGAGGATTGTTCTATGTAGAGTATGTGTACTTATTGTTTATGGGAAGACATTGGGGATGGGACACTGCCAGTCTCCAGCTGGTTCCAGTTCTGCTGAGGTTTCATCTTTTGAAGATGTGGCCTGTGGTGGTTCAGGCACACAATCCTGCTCTTGGCCCGCATCTCGCTCTGCCTCCATCTGTTTACCTGAGACACACGCACATGCGCACACACAAACATCAACACAGGTCATCTACTGCAGAAATAGGCCATGAACATTTATGTGGGTAAATTTTGATCCAGCATTTTACGTCTTTTTTATGAAGTGCTTTTTCAAAACTGAGAAATACAGTTTGTCTGTCATAAAATACAAGATTGGGGGCAGTGTCTTAAGATGAATTCAATCAATCAATCAATCAGTCAACCAATAAGAAGCATAACTAAAATTATAAATAACAACGTTAAAGTTACTGTGATAAAATTATACAATTACAAAGGCCAATGGTAAAGCTATTGTGGTAAAATTATTTTAAAATTTTCTTCACTTTTTCTTGTTCCTGGAACACAACAATGTAGAGTGATGAAACTGTCAAAAATAAATGAAATCAGAAATGTTCACCATTTGGTGATGAATCACATTGTACAGAATGTCCTAAAGATATTCTCAGAAAGTTAAATCCAGATCTCCAGAAGGCACCGGGCAGAAAGTGGAAACAGGCTGCTTCCTGCAGGGCTCACTGAGCTTCAGGTGAAGAATCAAACAGCAGAGGTGAACTGTCTACTTTTACCTGCTGTTAATATCTGATAAAACACCCCTACACTCTAAATTCTCTTCACTATTACATATACTGTACCCTACTTACTGCATTCTGCTAAACACTAGAAGCAGAGAGAAAAAATAAAGAAATATAAGAAATGTCCAAAAGAAGATCTGCTCAGACAAATGGAGCTGGTGGCTCAAACAGTTCTTACCCTAGATTGTAAGCTGAGGTGGCTTTAACATTAATCTGTAAATCTGTGACGGTTGCACCGGCTGGTCACAAATTGAATTTTCACTAAGATGGGGCCTAAAATTTAAGCTTAGCCAGAAATGTCCAAAAAAAGATCTGCTCAGAGAGACGGAGGCATAAAGTAAAATTCAAAACTTTGGACAGGTTTTACGCCCTTCATTGTTTCGCTGACGCATCTTCTGCTATACTGTGTGCTTCTGAATCTGTACAGTCATTGTTGACATCTGTTATTATTTTCCATGCCAATTGTTTTTTTTTATTTGTTATTCATTGGTGGCATCTGTTATCATTTTCTGTGTCCATTGTTTTATTCCGATTTTGTTTTTTTTTATCATTTTAATGGCATAAATTAGCAAGTTAGTTAGCCAGTAGTAGATACATTTTGTTTTGTAATTAGAATTTTTGTCATTAATTGATTGCATATATGATTATTACCCATGTTTTTTTTTGTTAATCTTTCATTCATTGACGACATCTTTTATTTTCCTTGTCAAGAGTTTTTTTTTTGTTATGATGTTTTTTTATTTGTTATTCATTGATGCCATTTGTTATCGATTTCTATGTCTACTGTATTATGATTTTATTTTGTGTAATATTGCTAGTTGAATGAATTAGCAAGTTCGTTAGCCAGTAGTATGCATAGATTTTTTTGTTTGTTTTGTTTTGTGTTAATAGGGTTTTCATATTTGTTATTAACTGACTGCATGGGTCATTTTCAGTATACTGTGCCTTTGGGAAGTTGGGAACTAAACAGTTTTTTTTAATTCCTATGAATATTCATCATAGTTATAAGATAACCCACTACCAAGAACACATCTGTGTCAAGCTTAAACACTTTTTATTTTGCAATGGTAAGCCACAATCTTATGACGCAACTACGCAACTTCCTGTCATGGACAAACACAACATATATAAATTTCTAAATTATTGTAGAAACTATAGAGTAATTTTCAGTGAGATATTGTATCCCCTTTTCAAACAGTAATTCTTATGGCCCCTCAAAATCTTTTAGAGTTATGAATTTTCTTACAAAATTAGTTTCTTTCCCCACAACATCCACATCAGACATCCTTTGTTCAACAAGCATTAGTAACAGTAAACATCTTTGAACAATAATTGGAATAAAATTACATGACAAATATGCATAATAATTTGATATATATATATATATATATATATATATATATATTGATTTGAAATATATATAATATATATAATAGAAATATTATATATATTGATTTGAAATATAAGGATTTGTTTACCTCTGAAGAATTACTGATTTATTTTAATAAAACATGAAGACGATGTGGTGGTGAGGTACATGACAGGCTGGACCAGGATATAACTGGGTGGACAAGAACGTTTCATATTTACAAAAACGCCAGTCGTTTCATTAACAATGTGTCCATAATAAATACCTAAGCTTATATATCAGAGAGTGGCTTTAGGTGTGTCAGTGAGTGACTGACTGAATGTGTCTGTGCTTTGGTCATGCTTGTAATAAGATGAGAGACAGGAGGTAAAATTAAACTGTGTTAAAACTTATAATAGTACCTACTATTTTATTTAGAACAACAACAACAACAACAACAACAAAGAAAAGCATGTATATGTATGTGTCGACTCATGACCAGATGCAGGTAGGGTGGACAATGACAGGGTGGACAAGTTTAGCTAAAGACAGCATTTGATGAACACATGGTTGACCTACAATTGCAGATCATGATGAAATGCTCAAGATGACATTTTGATATTCTCTAATTATTTTAATTAACTCAATATTTTAGTACAACATCTTGACATGGTGGACATCTTAAGCTTGACAACAGCTAAGTATGAAGAAATATTAAGTGAAATAAACTTATATAGTTACTGAACATGCTGCAGTTGTCTTCAGCCTATTGAAGATAAAATAATTTGAAGGTTGTGATGTCACTGATGCCAAAGGACATTTTCTTAAAGGGGCAAATGTCCCAAGGTGACAAGGTGGACAGCAACCTTTGGACATGCCTAAATCATTAACAAACGTCTTTAAAAATTTGAAGAAAATGTAATTTTTTTAAAAAACTTGTGTTATTTAACCACTTGAGTTATTCAACTGCCATGCAATGCAGCACCTCAGACATGTCAAAATCCCCACTTGCACATCAAACAAAATGGTACAAAATGTATTTTAAAGTGAAGGATAATGTTCCTATATATTCATAATAATGTGTTCATTCAGAGTAAAACTTAAAACATCAATTATTTAACCATGTTTGTATGAAATTTAATCAACTATGCTGGGGATCCCAAAGGCACTTCATATAGATATTGACCCGCAAAACAGATTTTATTAAATTTTTCTTTTAATTCATTACAGCACCTGTTGTTATCATCCGTGTTGATTTTTTTTGTTTGTTATTCTTTGATGGTATTTGTTTTAATTATCTGTGTCAACAGTTTTTTCTGTTGTTATTACAAGGTTTTTAGCTAGCAATTCACTCAGCTCAGCCATGCAGCTCTAGTTATCAGGCTAAGCTCTGCTGAGGTCGTTTTGCTCTCACAGCACTCCTATCCTGTGTCGCACCACTCACAACAGTGTTCAGAACAGCACTCAGTATTATTAAATATATTTATGTATGTGCAGTGCACAGGGCCCATTAGAATAAAAAAATAGATGATCCTGTTCAAAACCACTTCATTACTCCTCTCAAATGAACTGGAGTGGCCTCTCAACTCTCATCAATTTACACAGCATCAACTCAAGCTCATGCTCCATATAGTGGAGAACGAAGATTTCAGAAACAGAGTGCACCTGACAGAACATGACAGGAAACAAAAACTAATGTCCCTTTCTCTGTCTCACTAACAGACTCACACAAACACCTCCTTCTGTCTACGTGATAGTTGCCTCTCACAGACTAGTTAATTATTATTTCAGAATGTCTCCATCAAGCATAAGTAATTTTTCAGGACTAGTTCTATAACCCGTGCAGTATGGCTTCTCTCCAAAACCTCACTAATTATCCTATTTATCACCTACATTACCCTATTTACTACCCACTCATGACCACAATCAATGCTCACTCATTACCCTACTCACCACCCACTCCTTTCCTCCTACTAATGGCCATAAGCCAATAATTACCATAATCACCGCTTATTTGCAAACATAATCACTGCCCATTATTACCCTAATCACTGTCCCTGTTACCCTAACCTCCACCTATTTCTGATCCTAACAACCACCTACTTATTACACTAGCAACCACCTGATCTTTAATGTAATATCCACCCACTCATTGCCTTGGTCACAATCTACTAAATACCACAATCACTGCTAATCACCACCCACTAATTACTAAGGGTGGAGTTGAATATTCGACTATTCAGTTTTTTTTTTTGTTGTTGTTGTTGTGTAGGTGTTTGGTTTTCAATTCTGGGATTCGGATATTCTTTTTTTTTTTGGCTTACTTAAGTTACTGTCCATAATGCAGCTATATTTTTAATTTGTTAAAGCACTAACAGCTAAAAATAGACCACTCTACTCTACTCCGGAAAACCCACCATTCCACCTGTATTCAGGCTTTAATTTTTTTACGTTTTAAATACACTGTTAAAATGTGGAAATATATAACATCTCAGCTCAGGCGCCTGACATCCTGCTCACTCATAGCAGTTAATGTTACACTACAGCAAGTGCTAGCATGTATTTCAAGGGTGGCTGCAAACAAACCAACTAGGGCCACAAAGTATACCTGGGGACGTGCCATAAAATATTACCTGGGGACGTGCTGTAATTTGAGTGACTACCAACAAGCTCCGTGATTTTAATCCAGTACAATCTTCGATGTTTGTGGTTTTTTTTACAAGCCTGCTCAGTCATGACCTCCTATAATTCGCCAAACCCAGAGCTCCTCATTAATAGTAGTCCTGCTCGAACTGACATCTTAGTAATGTAATAGCAAAACCAGGTAACAGAAAAAGGATGAGCTTGGATGCTTCCTATTTGCCAGCTTCTTGTTTGAATTTTCCTGTTTTACCTTAAATTCTGTACCAATTTTTTATTCGGTAGCTTCTTGTTTAATTGTTCTCTTTCAACCTTAAATGGTGCAGCCATTACTAGCAAATAAGAAGCTGACTTCAGCTTCGTAGAAAAGAGTGCCTCACTTTGTTTTGTTTTTTGTAAAGACAAGGCTATCAGCTAAAATGGAGCACCACTAAGTGAGGCTAGCAGACCTGGTAGACAATGCTCTGTGAGTAAAGCAGCTAACCTGGAAATTCATATTTACAGTGGATGAAGATGCGGACGTCAGACTTGGATTTTCTCAACCACTTTTTTAGCCATCCTATCCCCCCAGTGGAGGCATCAAATATTTGCTGTTGATTACTACCGAAGCTCTGGAGCCTAAAAAATGGTATTTAAGACAGCCCTACATATTACCCTAATCACTTTCTACTAATGAACATAATCACCACTCAATTATTACCATAATCACTGCCTACTTGCATATATAACCACTGCCCATTGTTACCCTACTCAATGTCCTTGTTACCCTAACCACCATCGGGTCATTATTCTAACCACCACCTTGACCACTCATTACTTTGCCCACTCATTACAACATGTTCATTACAAAAACAAGTGGTAAGACATAATATTTTCTAAAAAAGTAAAACGTATTGTTATGTGTGCTTTTAGTCAGAGGCAGAAAGAAGGGAAATCTGTCTGAGACTGAGGTGCATGTGTGCATGTGCGCCCTCTGAAAAAAAAAAAATAATAAATTCACTCCTGCATAATGAACACTCGCCTCAGGCAGAAAAATACAAGGGACAGGCACAAACACACACAAACTCATGCGAAATAGGAAGGTACCTCACACTCTCAGTGTTACCTCAGATGTACACTGCAGTCTATAAGTAGTTTGCTCTGACCAATAGGAAACAGTATTTGGAACTAGGCCTGCAAAAACTAATCAAAGAAATTGATAACGGTAATGAAACATTTCTGGCAACAAATTTCTGTATCGAGTAGCTGCATAGCTACAATGTCGCTTCAATGAAAACAGGAAACTTTTGAAAATGGTACAGGCCCCACTAGTGGAAAGTGGTGCATGTTAAGTATTCTAAAGTACAGAAGAACTTTGCGTTGAAAGAAAAAATTTAGTTATCAATAGTTATTGATAATGTTTGTTTCCCAAGCCACTAAAAAACATTAGCTAGAATAACTGCAGGAAACTAGAGGCTATGTAACCTTTAAATATTTTACTTGACTTAAAAGGTTCTGGTGAAAGCTAAAGGGTTTTTGGAGATGATACATTTCAGCAATTATACATTTTTAAAGGATTGCATTGTGAATTCTCTCTATGTTGTGCTGTTCTGTACCTGCAGTATAGGAAAGCATTGTTGAGATCTTGTCAAAAAGTTAAAAAACAATTTACATTCATGGAAAGCACATATATTTTTCAACATATTTTTATTAACAAAATGAACCCCACTAAAAATCATATACTTATTAAAAAAAATACTGAAATCGCTTACTTTTGTAGGAGTGATGCTACTGTAGCAATAACTGCAATAGCATTCAGTACCACTAAGATGATTTCAGGTGGCATTTGTGATCCAAATCTAATAATATAACATTAATACTTGACTTAACTAATGCTTTTGGGGCTGAATGCAATCAAATCCTAACAGCAATGTGTAAACGTTTCTCAGAAAAGTAGAGGTTGTTTACTGCAGCAAAGCGGGCACAAACTCCCTATTAATTTAAGAAAACATGTTGGATGAGCAAGTGTCTACAAACTTTTAAACACATAGTGCAAGTTGTTCATTTAAAAACTATATGACTAACTACTTTGAGGTTCTTTAAGTTCATATTTGCTTGGAGAAAAAATACTGAATGCTGAAGTAGCAATATCAAATGTTTTTACGGCCAGTTTTGTGCCGCCTCATAGATGACTTTAGAACGATGTAATATATCAAAATATACGAGCTGCTCATTTATCCATCAACTGGATACTGAATTAGGATTGAAAAAAAATCATCTTGATATTGGATTATTCATGCAAATTAATCAATTGAAAATTGATTAATCAGCTTAAATGTGGCCTGTGAGCTGTCACAATAAACTGTCTGCCAATGTTCTGACAAATTGATGTACAGTTCACCAAGAACTAAACGACCACCAAGCAGAAAAAAAGTTGCGCTTTTTTAAGCCTACCCATAATTTTGAGCTAGAGTAAGTAATAAGCGATAGCTAAAAATAAATGATATAATAACTGATATAATAATAAATACATACAAATAATACAAAATGCAATAGAATAATGATTTGTTCATTCTCTTCCACTTTTTTAACTGACAAAAGTACAAAGAAATGACAATGTTTTGGTAGACCAACTTGATTGTATAATTATAAACAAATTTTGAATTTGATGCCTGTAATACTCAAAAACGGTGGGACGGGGGCAAAGTAAGAGTGAAAAGTTTGTAGAATGTTCAGGTTACACCATTTTGAATCATTGCACAATAAGTAGGTGAATGGGTAACAGGTGAGGGTATCTGACTGCGTATATGACTGCATATAAAAGGAGCATCCACCAAAGTCTCAGTCTTTGCAAGCAATGATGAGTTGTGGCTCATCATCTTGTCCAAAAAAAAAAAAACCTTTGTCAACGTACAGTCAATGTAGGGAATCCCAGAAAGGGCCTTTAAGCTATCAGACAGCATTGCATGAGAAACTGTCATGCTACTTTGTTAAATATAGCCACATGGGCTTGAGCGTACTTTGGAAAAACACTGTCACTTCACACAGTACATCACTGCATCAAGAAATGCAACATGAAATCTGTTAGATTACCTTTATAGCTCTTGAAGCTGCATTAGTAATGTAACATAACGATTAGTAATGTTTGTAAGGGTAACGCTCATTCTAATAAATCAGTTACATTGCGAACTGTACATCCTCAGGGAGTAGTTCGATTTCTTAAAACACCAGCTTGGGTGGAAAGCTATTATTTACTGACCGCTCTGCTGTTTTACAATTGACACGTGCTTCCAGTGAAAGCTAAGTCAGAGTTACACATGTGACTGCTTTAGCCTCCATGTTAAGAGAACACAGCCCAGAATTTAGTTCTTTTCTAACTTTCAGCCCCAACTATTCTGTTTCTATCTGCCCTCATAGGTATAGAACTATAAGTTAATTGCTGCACTCTGTTGTAGCCCTCATCACTTTGGACATCACTTTGAAAATATACACTAAATATACACTTTCAATATACATAAAAAAATCAACAACGGAAATATTCATTTTTTTTATTGTCGACAAAATTGCTTATGCTGTTTCAGCCCTAAATTGAAAGTGTTACATGAAACTTTGTTTCTGAATTGCTCTGTATTGCAAGCTGCATGGAAATTTTCAACATGCAACTAGCATGTCTAAAACAACAAAATATAAAGAAATAGTAAAATGTTAAGAAACAGTAAAATAACGCAGCAGCTTTTAGCAAATTGCTTTCTCAGGTTGGAAAGAAAAGATTAATAGCAATTAAGATAGTATGGTTTAATTAGAAATAAATACAAGTAAAAGTACTATGATTTAATTATACTCCAACAAGTTCCATTGTGAGGGAAAATATACTCAATTACAAAAGAGATTAGTTATATTAGGTTGCTTCAGTAGAGGACAACACTCTGTGTGTGTGGTATATACTCACCATAGCCATGCGATCTCTTCATGTGCAGCTTCATGTTGCTTTTCTGTGTGAAGCTGATGGTACACACCTCACACTTGTATGGTTTCTCGCCTGTGTGTTTGACTATGTGGACCTGCAGCGCGCTCTTCTGGTTAAATGCCTTGTCACACTGCAAACACTTAAAGGGTCGTTCACCTGCATATAACACACACACACACAAACAAACACACACCCTTAGCCCTAATCTTTAGAAAGAAAATAGCTTGAAAAAACTGAATTACATAACAATCAGCAGCAGAGATGTAAAGCAGCATTTAAAGGAGAGTTATATTGATTCTTCAATATTTCTGAACTGTTCAATGGCTGTGAGGTACATGAAGTCACTGAGAGTGGTTTGATGTGAAATGGTTAATTGCAGAGAACCTCAGACTCAGATTTCGATACTGTGGTGGTGACACAAACCAGGGGTCAATAGGTAATATTATACGTAAGTATAACCATTCTAGTTACTATCCAAAATGACCAGTGAACCTACGCGTGTCTTCTGATCTTATATATGTAAAGTTTCATATATTAAAAAAAGTTTTCTTTGACTACTTTTTTTATTTATGTTGTCTTGAATTTACCTCTCTGGCATAAATGGACTTCAGCCCAAAAACGTCCAAAAACTAAATAAAGCCTCAGGCTTCAGGCAGTGTCTTCGTTAGCATTTCATGCAACAGTTTTCTGTGATGCAGCTTTCTGAGGCATTAATGCTTCAGATGCCTGGTTCCTGATACCACCACTGTGAACACTGTTGGAAATTTTCTCTAGAATGGAGCAATTCACATCCAACCACTATAATATAAATGACTTTGTTTACATCTTAATGATTTAATTATGAAGAAATTTAAAAAAATTACCCTTTAACCCTCTTAACTACACAGTTAAAAAAGCATGTTCTAATTTCATATGATTTCATATTTCATATTCTTATTGAAACAAGAGGAGAAACCTTGTGTTTGAACAGTCATTCCACTTTTGATATAAGGATTCTACCAATCAGGGAAAGCTCCCTGCTAAGCAAAAGGTTCTCTAAAGTCACTTGAGAATTGGATATTCTCAAGCTTATTTTATGGGATATTGCGAAGAACTAACTAAAGTTATATTTGCTCTTCAGCACTGACTTTCTTAGTTCAAATGTAAGGATCTCATCATTTTTACAAAAATTATTTTGGACAGAGGCTTTACACCAATGCCACATGATTTATTGCAAAATAATGCTTTCCAGTTTTTTTTATCTATAAGTGAACACTCCAGTAAGTAGGAGTAAGCTTTGGAGGAGGTACTCATGTTTGTAATCTGTAAAAGTTACCAGTAGAACCTTCATGGCAAATATGGTTTGGGACGTATACTCCCAGAAATCTACTCTGGATTTCACTGAACCAGATTTATTCATTCAGGTAAAGTGTTCACTATACAGATTATTAAGCCTCCAAGTAGGCCATCTATTTATCTATCTATCCCTTGTTAAACTGACATTTCCACACCTGATTATTTTCAAAAAGTACATGTAAAGGCATGTAACGTGTCTAGAAGTTCTATGTTTTTTTTTTTTTTGCTGCTGTAATCATATAAACTCTTGCACTCATGCACTGCTATAACAATATCTTTCTGCTTAATTTTTGCTTCAGTATTAAAACAGCTGCTGTTTGGTTACAGCCATGAGAAAACATTAAACCTTCTTCTGCTAATATTTTGTCTGAGTGTCATTCTTGTATAAACCAAAACCAAAAGCTTTTTGGCTAAAAAAGTTAACCTTCCCCCTTCTTTTGTCCATTACTTCCCAAACATTAAGGGCATGTTCACACCTGAAAGTCTAGACCAAGGCCTGAACCAAGGTTCATGTTTTTATTATATTGTATACATTTGATCTGGTTAGTTTTGGTTTCACTTTGCAATTTAGCGAGCGCACTGAGGAACTTGGCATGACACACCTATGTCCTGTCGTCATCACCTACGTGAGCTGCGCCTCCCTGTAACTGACATTAAGTGGTTTGTAGAGGAGCGTGCATCTGACATTGGTGTGATGTCAGTTTGGCAGGTAGTCTTTTCCATTTGAATGAAGAAAAATTAATATCCTCTCACTTGTTCTTTCAGAAAACAAGGTATAAGTTTCATATGCAGATACATGTGTTTTTTCAAGTTGACTTCTTCAACTTGTTCATTGAACCAAATCACAATTAAATATTTCATCTTCTCCCCTCCTCATGTGCTACCTAGGCTCGTTTTTACTTCACTCCTAGTCCTTTTTTCTTCTTCTGTTGTTTAATGGGTGACTAACGCCTGTCTCAACTTCCGTCTAAAGTCCAAACCATCCAAAAAAGTGTTTTCACACTGAAAATGAACCAAACCATGGTTCAGTTTGATCCGGACTGAGACAATCTCTTTGCAGAGCGACAGGATTTAAGAAGAGCAGTAGAAGCAGAGTCAAGCTGACAAGAGGATGAAGAAGACCTAAAAATTATCTCAGACAGTGTAGATGAATTGACAGAGGTGAAAGCAGAGATAAGATTGTCCAAATTTTGATGTTTTGTAACTGGGGAGAAGACTGTGCTACAGTGGGGAAGTGCAGGTAGATGCTGCTAATTTTATTCTGGAGGAAATCCTGAAAAGCCTGAAACTGATCAGGAGAGCTGGGAAATGCTGTGGGAGGCTAAATAAGTTAGTTTTTTTATCCTGAAAAGAGTTTTGGGCTTAGAACTGCCATCATTTATGATAGTTTAATAGTAGGCAGAGCAGGCAGCATTTAGGGAATTCCTCTACCTACATATATGTTTACTCAAAAGTAAACAATGAACAGTAAGCACAGTTTTCTTGAAGACACCTTCAATTTGCTTTCATAGCTCTGAGCTCAGGCGTGAACCATGGGGGGGTATGAGAGATGGGTACTGGTTTAGTTTTTAGAGGAGCATGAATGTTAGAAATAGTCATTGTAAAGTGATACCATGACATCAGGGGAGAAGAGATCAGAAAAGTCTGAAAGAGTTAATGTCTAAAGAGAGTCAGACAGCAGATACACATCAACAGAATTAAGATTATGGAAAGAGACAGCAGTTTTCCCAAGAGGTTTAGGAGTGGGTGTCCTGAGACAACATTAAATTAACTTATGGTCAGTAAAACTGAACAGAACCACTAACAGAAACATTTTTGAGACGAGTAGAACAGAGCAAGTCTAGCATGTGACCATGATTATGTGCTGTCAAATTAACATGCGGAGTAAAACCAAAACATTCAAGAACCATGAAGAGTTCAGTAGAAAATTAGCAATTAATGTCAACATAAATATTAAAGTCACCCTGTAATGCAACAGCAGAGCAGATGCACAAGGCCTTTGTAAGCAGTTCAAAAATAGTTAATAGTTAATCTCTTGGAGATTAACTACCCTCAGCCATCATTATTGCCTTAGTATAATTAACCAAGAAAATGTGAGAACTGTACATGCAGCATAGTTACCTGCACATTTAAAAAATGGAGATTGTAAGCCAATAAATAAAATAATTGTAAAATGTTAAAACACAGATCAAAAGACAATGTATAATAAGTAAATACTTAAAAATTATATACAGGCTTTACTATATAGAAAATTATATTTCTCAGACGAAATAAACAACCTTCCCTTCTTACCTGACTTTCCTTATAAGTAGCCAGATGTAGTGGTGTCTTGCTAGGTCTTTTGGGGCAATATCTAGCTTGCTTTCCTGAAGAAACGCTGAGTGTATCGCTGGCTTCCAGACATGATTGTGGTAATGTCTCATGGGTTTTCACGAAGGTCAACAATTTCAATCATATCTGAATATTTTTCTTCATCTAGTACAGAGATACAATGTAACACAGTGGGCAGTTACGTCTAGGGCCAAATCACAGCTGCTTTGAGGTCAGCTGAGAACTAGTCACTACCTATTGAGAAGTCTTGTTACTTGTGCCCACCCCAACTCTTAAAAAGGAACTACTGAGTTATAGACCTCTGTGTCCTAATGCTAGTTATGACCATAGTAACAGGTAGGACAGCACCTTACCCCTCTTTGTAGAAGAAATGCCCCTGTTAGGTTTGTGCACGTGTTTTTATGCATACCTGTATGTGTGCGGATGTGTCTCTCCAGTTGGCTGGGTTTGGCAAAGGCTTTGTCACAGCTGGAGCATTTAAACACGCGTGGCTTCTGAGAGCTCAAGGTGGGGCCATTCAGGTGAACAAACTCATGCTCCTGATGCACACACACACACACACACACACACACACACACACATTCACACACAGATTATTTTCAATGTTATATATTGCAGATACAAATTTTCATAGCTGAGTTCACTGAGGCACAAGCACAGGGTCATCTAAAGGTACTGGTTGACACCAGTGGCAGTTGCTTTAAGACTGCATGAAAAAGCATAACACTGAAATGTTTGACAATGCATCGTAACTCGTGCTGCAATTCCGTATTTTAGTAATTACAAATTGTGAAATGTCTACTCTATGTCACTGCACCTGGCATTTACAGGATAGTCTGACTGTGTTTGGGAAAGATAGTGGAAGCACATCCCATAGAACCCTCCTGAAGCTAGGTCTTAGTGAGCGTTAAAGGCAGATTCAAATACACATTGTTTTAGCATGCAAAGATCAGCACTTTTTGGACATCATTATTTTTGGTCCTGCCCACATGTTGTGCTTCACATAGTCTTCTATGAGGCTATCGTAGGTGTTTTTCGCATATGAAAATTATTTAAATGTTTATTGGACTGTAGGCTATTGAAAATGTACTTTTTGTTCAGCCTGGAAGTTCGGCAATGTGATGACTGGTGGAGCTCTGAAAGGGGTGGGATCTTGAAACAAACTAGCAACACCAACACTGTAAAGTGCCTGACCAACAAGCACCTCAAATTAAAACTGCCGTTGAATGCGTGCAAAGAGCTGTAGGAGAGTCGTTAGAAAATTAGCTTTAGTGTTGCTGGCTAATATTACTAATATTATTAGGTTTTTATGGTATTTTTCCATCACCATTTAAAAATATGACTAAAGTGTGAATGTACAGTTTCGAGTTGAGAGTAAAGCAGTAAAGTAGCTTTTATAAGTGTATAATTTAGCAGCACTGCTGCAGACACTACTAATGTTGTCAGCCTTATTTTAGAGGATTAGCTAGACAATGGATACATATTCACAAATTTGGAGTCAGTGTAGTTTTCAAAAACTTAAAACACATTTGGTTACAAGTAAATGCTTGAAATTATTATTATCTATTCTGGTCAAATACTGAAACAATTACCTTGTCATAAAAAGATTCTACATAACACTAAAATGCTGAAATATAAAATTTCATATTTTTTTGGTCCCCATAATACTTGAAATATTAAGTAAAACATCTATAAACATATTTTGATTTCTAGTTGATTAGACTGTAATCTACATTTTATAAATTAAAAGTGAATATAAAATCATATCAACTTCATAAAGCATCAGTTGCCCCTGTCCACCACATTTCACAGAGTGTTGTTGCCCTTTCAATAAACCACCAGACCAGGGGAGTGTTTCACAAAGCTGGATTTCTGAGTTAGCCAGTTAACTTACACCCAAAATTGAGGACTGCCCAGTAAGAATGTCCCTTAGCTCTTTTCCTATTGGACAGGCTTGTCTTTAAGCTTAAGTTATCTAGTTAAACTGAGAGGCTCCGTTTTGTAAAATGCCCTCAGTTAACACACGTACACAAATAAGCACTATTATTTACAAAACAACTATTGTTACCCTTCCCATGTGAAATCCAGAGCCTGTTTGGTCAGACATGGAACTCACAGCATCAAATTTACCAGGAGAAACTGATTTAGAAAACACAATATTCAAAATAACACATTTGAGTGACAAGTAGGTAAACATTAGAAAGCAAGAGAGAATGCAAAAGATGATTTTTATACATTTTGAAACTGACATAAATAATAATAAATAGACTAGTAAATAATAAATACAGACTGCATTTCACATTCAGGTTGTGTTGAGTATTGTATAGCTCCAGGTTTTCAGCCAAGACTAGCTTTTCCTGCATGTTGGATGAGTGACCAGAAAGACACCATCCTTATTACGGACAGGTCAGCAGTGGATGGCATAATGGGGCTCTTTTGCTAGTACTTCGCAGCCGTGGTGCATGTTGCTCCATAGACAACAATGAAAATCTACAGCTTAGCACAGAAAGTTCTCTCATTCTACTGCCCACCAAAGATCCATCCTCAGTTTACACTTTTGTGCCAACTGTCAAGCACAGCACATGCTGTAAACTGTACGAAACAGTCAGGGCTGCAAAGTGTATAGTAAATTCCTACTTAAGTACTGTAGATTCTTATATTTCTACATACAGCACTGTAAATTCTAACTTATGTAAGAGTATTGCTGATGTAGTGACTTAAATACAAGTAAAAGTGACAGAGTAAAATGAGATTTAATTGCAAATTAAGTCCTTTATTGGAAAATTGCACAAGTAATCATTTTGATCTACATTCCTTGTACACCTACAATCATTATCTGGAAAAAAAAATAACGAGTTGGCTTTGCTACGTCCTTGGAAATAAACTCTACACAGAAAAGCAAAACTTAACATCCTTACAAAGAGAGAAAAGTTTGAGTCCCAAAACTAATTATAGTATATTCTGCTAGTAGAAATGTGAATCTCTGATGTGACAGCAAATTGATTAAATTCATAAATCACGGCTTGGATTCAATTAAAAAAACGACTGAATTAAGAACGATTCTATTTAATATGGTACCATACATTAAACAGTGTTTTCAGCAGATTCAGCATTTTGATTAAGCAATTTAAGCACCTTTAAGAAATACTGTAATTAATTAAAAGCATTCTCATAATATAAAGGACTAAATGGCTTCCTCTACTATTTACCAAGCAAAAAAGTTGGTCAATTAGATTTAGAGATGGCATGGAAAAACCTGTAGCCATACAGCGCTTCTCAACCCGAGATACCAAGCTTTGTTTGGTCCTTTGCAGCATCTCCTGCTTCATTCTCTCTCAATCTACAATATCATGTTATTTAAGTGAAAAAAGAGTGACTTGTGGGCGAGTTAAGGCGCAAGCACACTGAGTTTGATCAAAAAAGTTTCTGGCTGGGCACATGTATTTGTCTAAATATCATATGTTTATGAATAATAAATCACGATTTGTTCAACTGGTAGCATTTAAAAACTTTTTTTTGACTAAACAATTTAGGATTATTACTCTCTTTTATAACCAATGCAATTGCACTGGGAGGAATTATAAACAATGCATCGACAAAAAGAACAAACTGTCTACTACCCTTATATTAATCCAACATTAATATTTCAGTGTAATGCCTGAAGGCACAAGGTTTTGATATTTGTTAGCTTAACTTAACTGTTAGTTTACATTAGTTAGCCAACAATAACTTGCAGCAGAACATAAAACCAGCAGCTTTCAGTTAAATACCACGCCTGTTGTTCCAAAACAACAATGTAAAAAGCAAAGAGTAAGAACTCAGTACCTATTTACCTGTTAAGGAGACCTCCACATGTTCTAGGAGGGATATCTGGCATCTCATTATGATGCTGATTCAACATATTGTACTTGAAATCAAACAAAAATGACAAACAGAGCTAGTATTTTCATGTGTTCATGTGAAACACACATTTTTGCTCTGTAATGACTATTAAAAAACTATTTAAAAAGTAGCAGCATTTTTAATAAAGTACAAAATGATGAGAACTCGATTCAAGTATTTTCATTTTATTCTATACAAAAATGTGTCATTTCAGGCAAAAATGTAAAGAGCTATAATGAGAATAGCTTTCCAACTCTGGAGAAAAAGAGCTTGCATCAATAAGAGCACATACTGCTTTCAGCGTAGCTTAAAAATATATAAATAATAATAATGCTTTTTCCAGGTGGATTATGCTCCAAATGATGTGATTTGCCTACAGTATTTTAATGTTATTAAAACCAGTGGTATTCATGGCTAACAGAAGCTAGAATTAAAAACACGGAAGAGGCAAACTTCTCTGACTGAACTGGATTCAAGGAAGGATAATTTATTTAATTTATAAACTCCTCTTCAGAACATCCTATATCACCTTGAAAGTCCTTACTCTTTACAATCTAATACCCTTATTCCCATTTTGAGGAATTATTCTTGGGCCTGAAGACACTGGTGCAAATACAATCGTTTTCAATATGTAATTACTGTACTACAATCATTTGTTGTTTTATACTACTTATACTTACAATGAACAGTAATTAAGCTTGCTTAATTCAGCTTAATTATGACCCCAGCTATAATAATTTAGATATTCTGCTAAAATATTTATAACAACATGCAGATTAGACTAAGAACTGGTACTCTTAAAGTGAAAAATCTAATTTACACAGTTCCTCCTTTGCTGCAAATTTCATTGGTCAACCACGATATATCTTGTGTCATAAAATGACATTGATATTTGATATTTTACAGATAACAGTATGTCCACATAAGCAAATCTATTTCAGACTACTTAACAACTTGACATGGTTTGAGTGGGGTGTAAGCATTCACTTGTTAGCCTTGTAGCACCATTGTAAAATTAAAGAAGAAAACAGACACTAAGAATGTCTTGGCTGACTGACTACATTTGGAGTAAGAGGGAAGGTGGGCAAACTAACTTTAAACAGAGATGGGCTACAGATGGGTGGATGAGTGATGAATCTGTTGCTGTTGCGGCTTTTGGGTGTAAGACATCAGCTTACACAGAGCGTGCAGAAAATCCATCAGATGAAGAGTAAAACTCACTCTGGAGGTTTGTTTTAACACCCAGTATGAACAAAACACTCAAAATCAGCTATTATTTATTTCATAATTTATAATGCAGGCTGTGGTTAGTATTGTGGCATGTTTTAGTGTTATTGTGTTGTTCTTCTGTGTATATATTTTGCTTTGTAAGTTAATAATATTTTTCAGTACAAGATCATTGTAAGATAACCACCCACCATTTTTAACAAACATGTACTGCAAATACAGATTTTTTCTGTCTTTTCATAATAAGAGAATCTACCTCTAAAATATAGCAAAATCACATTTTTCAATAAATCTGCTGTAAAAGTACAGTCAAAGTCTGTAACTTTAAATGATAAATATTCACTGTTTTATAGGATGACTGTACAAGTTTTAAGTGTTTTGACTGTTAATTTACAAACTTGATTTCAAAAAAGTTGACAGTACATAAAAT